AAAAAAAAAAAAAGTTGTGAGAATATTACACAAGTGTCTTACACGTGAGTGTATGCTATAGTAGCTCCCTCAATTCTCTGCATTTAAATTTTTTAATTTTAACTTGTTTTTTAAATATACTTGCCATGTAATGTTTTAAAGTGTATGCATGCATGGATTCACTCAGTTTAGCTGATTACCATGCCTCTGGTGATCTTAGGGTTCCAGGCAGGAATAGTTTCCATCACAGTCAAGCTCTTCAAGACAGTATTGAGGGTTGGGATTAAATGGCTCAGTGATAGATTGCTTGTCTAGCATGTATGAGGCCCTGGGTTCAATCCCCAGCACAGCAAAAAAACAAACAAAAGACAGTATGGAATCAATTATGTCACCTTGTTGATAGTAGCTTTCTGGAACTTATTCACCCCATCTAACCAAAATTTTGTATCCTTTGGCTGGTATCTCCTCAGTACCCCCTGGCCTCTGGCAGTCACCATTCTTTCCTCTGCTTCTATGATGTTTAACTGTGATGTTTAACTAATTCATAGAAGCAGAGGACAGAATGACAGCATTTACTTTATTTCTTTATTAGCATCATGTCTCCCTGTCCTTCAACAGGTTTATCCTTATTGTTGAAAATGGCAGGATTTCCCTTTCTTTTTCTGGCTGAATAGTATTTTTTTTTGAACCAGGGATTGAATCCAGGGCCACTTAACCAGTGARCCACATCCTCAGCCCTATTTTATATTTTATTTAGAGACAGGGTCTTACTGAATTGCTTTAGTTTTGATAAGTTGCTAAGGCTGGCTTTGAACTCATGATCCTCCTGCCTCAGCCTCGTGAGCCACTGGGATTAGAAGCATGCATCACCGCGCCTGGCAACACATTTTCTTAATCTCTTCTTCCACCAGTGGACAGACAGTAGGCTGTTTCCACTCCTTGGCTGTTGTGAACAGTGCTGCAGTGAGAACCGAGTGCAGGTGGTCTTTGACTGATCTCATCTCCTTTGGAGATAAATACCTTGTAGTAGGATGGCTGGATTCTATGTAGTTTCATTTTTAATTTTTGAGGCCACATCTATACCAATGATGTTTGAGATCAGCTAATGACTTTTGCTGTGGTTTCTGTGCCTGGAGGTCTTTGTGTTGGATTCTGCTACTTGTCCTATTTCCCCCTGGTAGTTGTAATTTAGTCAAATTAGATGTTGATTTCAGGTTCTAGAAAATAATCTGATACTGCTGTGGCCTTGGTTGGGGCCATGGGTGTTCTGTTCCCTAAATCGAAGAACTCCACACCTACCCCACCTCCTGAGGTGGGCTTCCCAGAGCTTCCTCTCAGGGCCTGCTTGCAGGACTGCAGCACCTCATATCACCCCAACCTCTAAGGAGTGCAATGACTCTGGATCTTTTGACAGATGCTGGGTTTTCAGCCGCTGACAAAGAGGCCAGTCTGGAGCTTATTAAACTGGACATTTCTAGAACGTTTCCTAATCTCTGCATTTTCCAGCAAGTAAGTCATAGTGATTTGTTGCAAGTGTGTTTTGTCTAAAATTCATAAATGCCAAGCTGCATGAATTTGTAATCAAGTTTGAAAGTTAGGGGTTTTGGGGGGTAGGGTGGGTACTTCTRTTAAAACATTTAGACATTTTAAATAAATGTAACTGATCAATTCCAACAAATATGACTACATCAGCACTTGTGTTTTAATGGCGAGACCTTCCTCATGATATGAATGCGTCACAGCCTCTGGATGGCACAGAAGGGCCACAGGCGGTTGTCAGTGCTTTCCTTAAGAGTGCACATACGAGCCTGTGCTCAGCAGGTTGCCGACRTGTGACCCGAGAGTCCAGTGCAGCCATCTGGGGACAGGAGGACAAAGGGAGATGCCTTTGTCCTTGGTGGCACCCTGGGAGCCTTGGTGTAGCCTGGCAGGGGGCTGAGCAGAGGTGTGGGGCATCTGAGCAGGTGGGCCAGGAGGATGGGACCCCCTCTGGAACAGAAGCCAGCTGCTGGAGACAGGATAGAGACAGGCTGTTCTCTCTGGATGGCAGTGGGAGCAGAGTGGTACTTCTTGTGGGTGTGGATTTTGGAGTCCTCTGAGAGGAGTTCTTTGGAGACCCTCTAATCTGTGTATCGGCAGACATCCCTCTGTGGTCCCTGGGACCTCTCCCTCACCACTGCAGTCTCTTCTCCATGCTGACTGCCTTTGCTCACCTCAGGTTCGTCCCTCCTCTCCTCCCACACCTCCTTCCATCCATCTCCCTGCCTTCAGAGCAGCCTTGGATGCTCTAGTCTGACTCCCTTGTGCTCAGGTTCCTGGCACAGTGCCTTATACATAGCTTACCAGTAAATGATGGTGGAATGAGACAGAATAGATTAGATAAGTGGCTGCAGAATGAGGGCCTGGCAGGAGTGTTGCTGGATCCAGGTCCTTTAAAGGCATAGGGGAGGCACTTCTGCTGGAGATGTCCCAGAGGACAGGAGAGCATCCCGGCAGAAGCAGGTGTAGGATGGGAGCTCAGGACAGCCAGGCATTCAGGAAACGCCCAATTCCCTGTAGGAGAGAGAGCTTGATAAAGAATGTAGAGGACACGTGTCAGTTCTTTCTAGCCTCCTAGCAGTAGCTACTTTGTTCTGAGCTGGGAACCACATGTGGATGGTGGGCTGGAACTAAGAAGGACTGCTTCAGAGCTTGAACAGAGAGTGCCATGGCCGAGCTCTGGGATACTAGTCTGTGGCTGAGAAGGACAGGCAGACAGACCCAGGTGCCCAGGCACTGGGTACCAGCCAGTGTGGGTGCAGCACTGAGGACTGCTGGTGGTTGAGTAGGTTGGAAGGGAGGACTGAGGAGGTGTTGGCCTCCAGGGGCAGCATGTGGTTGCCATGTCAGAGTGACCCTTCAAAGCAGGGGTCTCAAGAGCCTGAGTGTGGAGGGTCCTCAGACATGGACATGGCTGCCCAGAGTTTGCTGTCTCCCACCTGTCACCTTCCTGGTGCCTTGTAGGGTACTCTTACTCTCTTGCTTCCTCCCGATTCTGAATCCAGCCAGGAACACTCCCATATGGGTCTTAGAAATCTTTGCAGAGGGTCTCTCCTCTCTAGAGAAGGAGAGAATATACAAAGCTACCCAGAGGCCTGGTCTTGGTGTCACGTTGGTGGAACCTGTGAGCGCCCCAGGGTGGCAGGCCTTAACTGGGCCCTGTCTCCATTCCTTCTCCTCCCACCTGACAGTTCTTCTCCTTGCTCTTCTCTACAGCTGTTAGTTCCCTGAGGCCTCGAGCACCCCAGGCTTTGCAGCTCTCCTTAGCTCTCATGAATCGGCCCAGGCTTTTCTTACTCTGGGAGGGCTTTATCCTGCTTGAGTCCCAAGGGCTCCCTGCCACACACCAGGGTTCTCACACCTCATCCTTCCTTGCATGAAGGCCAAGAAGTATTGCTTTGTAGAAAGTATTTCAAAGCAGATTTGGGCTTGCATTCCATTGCCTTCTGGCTAGCTTGTGGCCTTGGGGCAAACTGTCCCCTCTAAGCCTCCTCTTGTTCATCTGTAACCTGGGGATGCTCACAGCTACCTAACCAGGCTATTGAAAGTACTTGGCACATAACAGGTACTCCATCAGTGCTCAGTTATTATTTACTATCTTTGACTCCTGCCACCAGCTGAAGAGCCGTTTTCTCCTCAGGCAGCCTAGAAGAGGTGTGGTAGGCCCACTAGGCTAGAGGCCTTGTCTTCCTGATCTTTCCCTGCAGTGTAGGATCAGAGGGAGCTTAGTAACCTTTCTGACTAGTAGAGATAAAAGGAAGGGAGGATCCTGGGAGGACTGTCCTGAGGAGAGGGGAGCAAGAAGAACTCAGATGACAGTTGGGGCAGTGTTTCCTAAAACGGTTCCTAAAGCCTTCCTTGCTGTTGGCAAACTCAGGTTCTGGGATTCACATGTTTGTCTACACATGGTGCCACAGAGCCCTCAGAGCCTGCAAAGGCCCTACAGCAGCCCAGGCCCAGCTTCTCAATTCCCTGGCCCCAGGGCCCAGGGCAGCTCCCTGGGCATACCACCAGGGACTTGACTTCAGAAATGCTGAGCTGGAGAATCCCTGGGTAGCTCTCTGGAGGTGGAGGGTAGACCAGGAAGAAGGGCAGTGGGAGCTGTGGGGTCCCTTTTGAGGGGTTGGGGCAGGTGGTAGAGAGGTTGCCTCTTCTCTCTGGGTTGCTTTGTGCAAGCAAGTCTCCCTCAGCCTGTGGGTCCCAAGGTTCTCGATCTCATGAATAGTTAATGGTTAATAACAAAGGGCAGTGGGGGAACAGATGTCCAAAAGCAAGTTAAGGGCCTTTAGAAGAAGGAGCTGCCACTTGCTGGCACTGGAGCAAGAAGGCAGGAATCATAAGGGTGAACAGTGCTTTCCCTTAAGAACATGCAGCTTTCACAATACTTTTCTCCTTCAGCCTGAGACAGACAGACAAAGCCTCCCCATAGTCACTCTTGGTTTTGTGGTGGCCTTGATTCTGTACCTCCCCCAGGCCTGGATGCCATCTTTTGACTCTGTGGTTGTTATTTTTCCTTCTCTCATTCTTCTCATTTGCAAGTGTCTCTTACTTTACTTAGCCTCTTGATGGGTCAGCATGTGATGGGAGGTGCCCAAGGTCACCTGTGGATTGACTTCTGTCACATGCCAGGAGTGTTGCTACTCTTGTGTCAGCCACCAGCACACGGTAGCCACCAGCACATGGTCTGGAGGGGTTTGCATTGGGCCCAGCCAGTCCCTTCATGGTGTCTTCTTGCACACCAGCAGTAGTGTGAGGCGGCTCAGGGCTTTCTTCTTGCTCCATCAGGGGGAAAAAAAGGGCTACCACTAATGTTTTTAGAAGCAGTTAAAGGAGCAAATGGAAATCTTGAAGTGAATGGATAGCTGGGAGAGTGACTGAAATAAAGTGGCAGCTGCCAACACCTAAGGCTAGAGCCTTTCCCCAGACCTGTTATTCAGAAAGATGCAAAAGATGCAAGGCGAATGTCATTTGGGGGCAGGGAGGCAGGAAGGACCCTCAGGATGAGGGCATCTAGGGATGGGATGCTGCAGAGTCACCGTCTGCATGGCCAGGAGCAGGGCTGCCTGAAGAGCTTCCTGCCCACTCAGGTTGACTTTGAAGGGAATGTGGCATTCAGCAGGAGTAAAGACATTTTACTAGGCGCTCACTCCTGACCCATCAGCCTTTTCAGAGCAGCTTCATGGTTGAGCGGCACACCTCCTTGTTAACTGCGAGTTGGTATTTAGTCTGTTAAACTGCATACTGCATGTAGAGCTGCAGCCTGATGCTTGGCATCTCCTCCTCTGTAAGTAGCAAGTGACTGGTGGTGGCAGCAGTAGCATCCAGCGCTGTTCTGAGCACTAACAGTACTTATGCATGTGATGTTTTTGGTTGTTGATCCTTCTAGGGTGGCCCGTATCATGACATGTTGCACAGTATTTTGGGCGCTTATACTTGTTACCGACCGGATGTGGGCTATGTAAGTGAAGTTTTTCAGTACTTTATAATGTTACAATCTATAAAGAAAGTTGAGATTTTATCCAAAATGCCTCAGCTGCCGATGCCAGGTTGAATGCCTTTGTCTTTTATTGAGGAAGATGAAAGGTCTCCTGGCAATGAATTGACTCCATCCCACATAAAGAAATTGAGCTGACTCGGCTGCTGGGGGGCGTTAATCACACTTGAACTGGGTGTGATTTCCATTTTCTGCATGTGATTTTTTTTTCCTAACATTAATTCAATAAAGCCTCAAGTGGTAACCATTTTTGAAAAGTGTGCTGCCAGCATTTCTGCAGCTTAGCACGCGTGTGTGCATGGTCTTTTGTTAAACATGCTAAATCAGATGTGCCTGTCTGTAGCCCCAGGACAGGGCCCTTACTGAGAACAGTGTTTCAGATGCAAAGGCCTAATGGGGATTGGCTATGGTTTTCCATTTGGAGGGGTGGGGTGCCATTGAAGAGTGGAATAGGTGTCCTTTGGGCTGAGTGGTAGCACTGAGAGGACTGGTCAGAGTGGATGGGGCCAGCAGTTCAGCTTCGGGTGAGCAGTAGTGGGTGGGTGGCTACACGGATCCTTGTGCTGTGAGGACAAGCTGCTGTGAGTTGACACACTTTCTCTCCCTCCCCAGGTTCAGGGCATGTCCTTCATAGCAGCAGTGTTGATCTTGAACCTCGACACTGCAGATGCCTTTATTGCTTTTTCTAATCTCTTGAATAAACCCTGTCAGATGGCGTTTTTCCGAGTGGACCATGGCCTTGTGAGTATGCTCTGTGTACGTGCCCTGGGTGCTGTGTCTTTATGGAGTTGCCCATAAAGCACTCTGAATTTTCAGGGGGGAAAAAGAATGCATTTTTCCTCCACAAAGAGATATTGGTAACAAGGAACACTATGGAGTGGGAGARTACCTGGGCATGTTTGAGATAAGCATAGAAACAGGAGTTCACTGGCCATGTGTAAGAGTGGATTAGTGCATTCTGTCTTTAAATGAGGGAGGAGGGTGGCTCCAGTGCAAACATATGTACTTGGTGTGTTAGGAAAACCTATGGCAGTGTCCACCGTGGGTCTGTTCCATACAGTATCTTAGAATTGACCTTAGCTACCAATCACAGTCACGTGGGGCCTCTGGAATGTGCTCCTACATGGGAGAAAGGAGGCATGTTTAAGAGCATGCCCGTTTATTGTAAAATGAAGCAGCAGTTTGTTCAGCATGCTGCTACAGATGGTTTTCACCACACTGAACAAATGGAAGGAGTTGACAGTGGTTGCCTGATGGCCCTAACACACTTAGCAACTGAGTCCTCTGCTTGGTACAGGTGAGGGAAGAGGCTCAGGAGGGCAGAGTGACTTGTTCAAGACACATCTGGTATGTGAAAGAGCTGAGGTTTGAATCCATTCTGGTTCCTGAGCCTTTGCTCCTTATGTAACCTGGAAGAAGACTTAGCAGTTCGTGAATCCCTCAGCGTTTAATCTAGCCTCGTCTCAATGCACAGAGGGATCACTAGTGCTCCAGCACCTGGTGATCTACTACTTGAGATCAGCTGGGGAGGGCTTCTTCCTTGGTAGCTTAAGGACTTATGGGTACTCCTCAGAAAACGTGCTAAATTGGTGGCTGCTGGGAAATATGAACTAGTAGGGTCCTCTTGGAAGACAACTGGTGCTGTTCCCAGCATTAGCATGCAGTTCGCTAGTAAGAGTCAGTTTTAGGAAAGTTACAAATGTGGACAGAACATTATGCATAGAGATGGTCATCATGTAGATTTGTAATTGTGAATATGGAAACTGTTTAAAGTGGGGCTCAGCAAATGCAGTAGTGGATTCACATCTGGGGCTCACCCAGTGCAGCAGTGATAATCTGTCATGTGAGGGAGTGCTGAAGGAACCTCACTAATTTTTTCAAGAGTCTGTAAAATTGAACATATGATATAATTGCAACCGTATTTGATCGACAGTCACAGGACATGAGCTCAGCTATAGTGTTTGTGATAGGTAGCCAGAGTTCAGTGGAATGCATGTATTGTCTAAGTTTTCTGCAGTGAGCATTTACAGGTATTGCTTTCTTAATCGATCAGGTGAGAACTTTTCAAGAAATATAATCGTCAGAGATTGAAAAAATCTTTAGGACAGATTCTTACTCTTGAGACAACTCATCAGTGCTAACACATACTGCCTTGATGTTGCTCCTGAAATTTATTCCTAGGAAATATTCCTGATGTAAATTGAATTTTACCCTTATAATAAAACAATCCCTCTCAAATTTCTGCTAACTTTGAAGACTCCAGCTTTTTCTTTGTAAATATGTAATAAAAACTATTATTAGTTTAGCTTGTATTTTTGAGGGAAAATTCTAGAATGGGAATATTGAGTGGGACCATCCTTTATGGCAGGGTTCTCACAGGTGGTGCTGCTGTCCTTTGGACTGACCTTTCTTAGATGGTCTAGGAAAGGAATGAGCCTGTAAAACTCAGCCTTCACCCTGGGACAGGCATGGATTCGAGTCCCAGCTCTACCATATATTAATAATAATGCTCTTCTACCCCTCTTAGGCATATCCTGTAACTGCTCTTGGGTTCAGTAGCTAGTGATGCTATTGTGAGATTAGAGATAGTGCTTATCATAATTTGCCTGAATAGCACCTACAGTTAGTTACCATTCAAAACATGTAGCAGTTTTATAAGATAATCATTAGATTCTAAAGGTGTAAACATATTGACTCTTTTTCATAGGTTGAAAACTTGTGCTGATAATTAGTTTATTAGTATATTTCACATTGTCTCCCTAGATGTTGACTTATTTCGCTGCATTTGAGGTATTCTTTGAAGAAAATTTGCCGAAATTATTTGCTCATTTCAAGAAAAACAACTTAACTCCAGACATCTACCTAATAGATTGGTAAGACTGTTTTCTGTGGTTTTCCGTGTTTTCTCGTCCCCTGCCGGCTTTCCACTGTCCTCATGGTGAGCTTCTTCCAGGGCTTATCTGAATTCCCGTGCCCTGCTTTCTGGCTTCCTCTCTGCCCTGCCCAGGATGTGCCAGCTATCCTCCAGAGCCTTGCTCTGCTAATCATGTCTCTGCACTGTGGGCTTCCTTTTACTACCTGGCCCTTCTAGATTCCTCCAGAGAAAGATGGTATCTTGGACCTGTTTGTTTTCAAAGTGCTGTTTGTCCATCTATAAACAGATGAGATGTCTGTAGGTGGCAGGTATGTGTCAGGCCCTCTGCCAAGTGCCTGGGGTGGTGAAGAGCAGGATGCAGTGCCCACTTGCAAGGAGCTGCTGCTGCTGTGGAGAGGCCTGGGTCATGGCACTATCCAGCAGTGGTGGGTGCTGTCTGCAGAGGGAGGCAGGAGGTGCTGGACCTGGCCTAGGGGTCAGAGTCCACTGAGGAAAGGCATGGGGGGGAGCAATGTGGAGTCCCAGAGAAGCAGCAGTGGGTGGGTGGGGTTGGGCTTACATCAAGAGGCCAAGGATGGGCAAAGAGAATTTGGGAGCCAGGTTGTGGCAAGTCTCAGAGGCCATACTAAGGGATTGGGCAGGATTTGGAGGTCACAGGGGCTCTTGAAGGCCTGTGTTGGGTCACAAGTGAGTTTTGAGTGACTTGCGAAGCAGGAGTTCCTGGGGAAGAGAGACCAGCAAAGGGCAGTGGAAGTGGTAAGGAGCAGGGAGTTGGTGGGTTCCAGGAACATGCTGGTCTCGATGTCAGACAATTGGTGGCCTCATGGTCCAAGCCTAAGCATCAGAGCTGAGATCAGAAATGGAGGCAGATCTAGGTTAGGACTCAGGAATTCTGAGGTATCTGTGGACTGTCTAAATAGAGGCCTCCTGAGATCCACAGTGAGAAGTTCAGAGTTTGCTGGAGCCATACCCAAGGCACAGCTGTGTACAGAAGGGAACGGGGTTGCTGAGAAAAGGGTGTGACCGTCACCCCAGAGAGTATGCCAGGTTGAGGGTCAGGTGAGAGGACCAGGCACCTGAGTGAAGGAAGGGAGTGTACCTCAGGATCCAGCAACCCTGCAGTGACCCCAGGGTCTTTCATACTGCCTGTGGCCTTGTGATGGCCATGAAGCCCCTCCATGCCCTGTGCCCTGCTTGGCCCATGTGAAACCCACAGGATGAACCTTTCAGGGCATTTCAAGACAACACTCCCAAATTGGGAAGGGGCTCTGCAGAAGAGAAAAAGTGCCATAATGAAGAAAGGGTGTCTGGCTTGACCCCCACTTCTGCCCCCTGTTGTGATTAGGCTTTTTATATTGAAACAGGGTCTGGCTAAGTTTCCCAGAACTTATAGTCCTTCTGCCTCAGTCTTCCAGGTAGCTGGGAGTGCAGGTATGTACTATCACACTCTGCTAGGAAATACATTTTATATGGTGACCCTGTGTGCAGTCTTGTGTGCAAAAACTTAATGTGTATGTGCCAAGAACAAGAGTTCCATGAAGGTACCTAACCCTAATGTGGGGAGTGTTCTGAAGCCCTCTGTTCTCTTATTGATTACCCGCCCTCACTGACTTCACAGTCCACTGGTGGCTGGGTGGGACATGCCCAGAGGACAGCTCTGCCTCTTCTGTCCCAGCCCATGGGTGGCTATAATTCTGGGTGTCCACCTGAAAAGAAAGCTCCAAGGGTTTCCAGAGCTGAGGGTTTTATTCTGTGATGTGTTTGCTGCTCACTGCACCTCCATGAGGCCCCTGCAGGGCCGGCTTATTTTTGATGAAATCTGCACCATCTGCGTTTGCAGTGCCAGTGCTGGGCACACAGGACGTCCTCAGTAAAAACTGTTTAAGTTGAACTTGGCACAGGACACATACATTTCATGGGTTTTTTCTTTCTTTCTTTCTTTCTTTCTTTCTTTCTTTCTTTCTTTCTTTCTTTCTTTCTTTCTTTCTTTTCTTTCTTTCTTTCTTTTTTTTTTTTGTACTGGGGATTGAACCCAGGGGTACTTTACTACTGAGCCACATCCCAGTCCTTTTTATTTTTTAGTTGAAACAGAGCATTGCTAAGTTTCTGAGGCTGACCTCAAACTTATAATCCCCTTGCCTCAGTCCCCAAGCTGCTGAAAGTATAAGCGTGTGCCACCATGCCTGGCTCTTGGCTTCTTTAGTCAAGCTGTGTCTGTACCTGGAAGCTGTGTCTCCACCTTACAGAAGAGGTGGGTCCATAGTGATCAAGGTTGTCTGTTGGGTGCTGACAGTTAGGTGAAAGCTCCATCAGAATCAGATGAGCAGTGAGGAAGAAGCAAAGGTCAAGAACAGACCTTGCTCAGGCCTGGCCTTGAAGCTCCTGTTTGGGAATCGCACACTGAAGGTACCCTGTTTCTGAGCACAGAGGAGGTCCCTGAGGCCCATTCTCCCTGTGTCTCCCCTGTAGTACGTGGTCCAGGTTAGTCTGACTCAGATCCTTGCTCTCCATCACGCTTCCTTCCTCTGAAGCTGTGTCTGCACCTGGAAGCCCTGGGCCTGTCTTGGGTTGCATGTGCCATGTGGTTGGCACTGTGCACGTGCCTGTGGTGTGACCACCCAGGGCTAGAGCAACCAACTGCTTAGGCGAAAGAGCCCTTTTCTTCTCTCCATGGCAAAGCCTGAGGGCACTGTGCAGTGTGGCCTCAAGTGTCCTGGGTGTGCTCTGCAGTGCTCAGATGAGAATGCTGCAATTCAGGTAGGAGAAGTGCCCTTCTCTGCTGTCTGTCCCCAGAGCCTGCTTCCCTCCCTCCCACCACCAGCCATACTGAGCTGTTAGCCTTGTGGGTTACTTCTGTGTTCCCAGAGCCTGGACCCAGGTCAGCTCATGTCCTGGGCACAGGCACACCTGTTCTTCCTAGGCCTTCCTTTGGATAGGCGGGTGGGACATGGCTGGAGGAGGTGGGTCACCAGGGGCATGTGCTGGAAGGGAGCATCCTCCCTGCTCCTCTTTCCTCTCTCTGTTTCCTGCTGCCATTAGCAGGGTGGTGCTTCTCCACTGTACACTTCTGCTGTGATGTTCTGCCTCTGTTTGGGCCCAGGGCAATGAATTTGGCCCCAGGGCAGGGAACTTGGCCCACCGTGGACTGAACCTATGAAACCATGAGTTTGAAGCCTGGCAGAAGCCCACTCAGCTGTTTGCACTCCTCCTCGAGGCTCGCAGGGAGGTGGTTTTGCTGATGAGAGCGCTTCCCAGGTGTGCCTTGCTTCTCTTTATCATGTGGACGTGGAGATCAGAGCCGGGGCTTGTCACCTGTCTTTGTCCTCCCACAGGGCTTTGAGTGGCCAGCTGTCAAGGGTCCACACTCTGGGAGGACTGGCACAAGGTCATTTAACTTGCAAAATATCTCCCACTGCTGCCTAGTGGCATGATTTTTTTGGAGGCATAAGTGGATTTTATGATAGTCTTAATTTAATCAAAGTATCGAGTGGTACATTCCATATTGTGCTTATTAGTGGCTTTGGCAATGGTGTTTACCTAGAAAGCCTATCATTACATGGATTCCCACCTTACAGAGGAGGTGCAGGGCAAGCGGGCTCCCAGGAGATAGCTGTCATTTTCTGCACAGCGTTCATGGGTGGCTCTCAGCTTCTGGGCCATAGGTCTGCCCAGGACTCGGGACTCCTCAAGTGCAAGCACTGCTTTGCGATCAGCCTTCTCCAGAGGAATTGAGCCTCCGGCATGCAGGTGTTGTTAACTGAAGCCCATTGGCTAAGCTTCATGTTCTGCTTGGTGCTGGGGCAGAGAGGAGAGCGCATGGGCTTGGGGTGATATGGACTGCACTGCCCTCAGGACCAGGCAGGGCATCTCAGGTTTGGTGTCTGCACCTCTGCCTTTGCTTAGTGCTGAGTCTATGCCAGTAGTGGCTCTTGAGTAAGTTTCAGAGTCTGCTGAGGCTTAGTGGAGACTTCTTACCTAGCACACTTGTTCCTGGTCTCTGAGTTTCTTAGGAACACAGGGATCCCCAGGTGCCATGAGGTGAAGGATGAAGCCAGGGTACAGCTGGATACTGGGGTGTCAGGGCCTGAGGATCCCAATCTCTGTGTGACTTCATGATGACTGAGGCTGCTAGGTGACTTTTACCCTTTTATTTTACGCTAAAACCTGCTTTTCCACCACCTTCCTTTCTTGGTAGTTTCCTCCTCTGCCACGTAGGGTGAGACTGCGCCTCCTCGAAGGGCTTTAGGGAGGAGGTGTGGGGCGGCACCCAGCAGAGCAGCAAGCAGTCACTTGCCCTATGTAGCCTGGGCAGCTTGAGGCAGACCAGGGTCCCTCTATTGCAAGGACACTGACTGCCTTCTGTACTGCTGGCTCCTGAGGCTTTGCCCCACAGCTGCTTACAGTGGCCCTGCACTCTCTCTGTGCCTCCCTAGTGCCCCATTTCCGTTCTGCTCAGGTAGGCAGCTGGAAGAGATGTGGCTGGAGAGGAGAGTCTACCTTTATCCACACATGTGGGGAGGTGGGTGCACATGGCTTGGTTTTGCTGTCTTTTTAATAAGCCCATAGCCACTCTGTTGGCATAGCAACACAAAAATCCATTGTTGTGCATTACTTGGACCTAAACGTGCTGTATTTGATACACAGCGCAGTAATATGCAGTGCTGCAGGTTGGGGTAGGGAACAAACATTTCTTGGGAGACAGAAACCCATGGATTCTCTCTTCCCACTATGGGGAGAGCAAGAAGGGGGCCTGGCAGACTGCCAGGGATTCCTGCTCATCCCTGTTCCCACACAGTCCTTAGCTGAGGGGAGGCTGAGGCCAGGTGGTGGGGAAGGGATTCTTGGGCCAGTGTGTGGACAGCAGCTCTTCAGTTCATTGGGTCAGCTTCCCTGGCTGGGTTTCTGTGGGAGCTGGACTGAACCTGCTATCTGCTTCCCAGGCAGTGGCCTGAGCCCTTTACTTGAGACTTCCAGGTGAGGGTGCTGTGTAGCTGCTTTCTGAGAGAGTGCTTCAGTGTCCCATGTGCACCTGGCTCCTGTGTTTAAATGTGGTTTAAAATACAGCTGAGCATCTAAAAATTACTGGTTCGAGGCACAGGCTTTGTAATCTGCCAGGGTCGGGTCTGATCCGTTCAGCTGTCTCTTTGCTGTGTGGGAAGCAGGTGGCTCCTTGGCACTGCAGCTCCCTCAGCATAACTCTTCACTTGTTGGACTGTCTGAAGACAAATGAATTAATAAAAAAGATTAGCACAGGGCTTTTTGCCTTGGGGTGGTCATTATTGAGGAAAGAACCTATGGCTGCTTTATCACTAAGCCACATCCCCCCAGCCCTTTTTGAGACTGGGCATCACGAAGTTGCTGAGGCTGGCCTTGAAATTGTGATCCTCCTGGCACAACCTCCTCAATCACTGGGTTTACAGGCATGCGCCACTGGGCCCTACCTTTCTCACTTTTTAAAATACAATGTTAACGAGTCTGTTCTGGACGGAGTTGAGAGCAGTTTGCAGATTGAGGAAACACAAGGTCTCAAGACCTTTCTTGAACTGTGCTTTCTAGACCCAGTGATGACAGTGTTTTCTGTTTTTGTGATGGTAAGAAGCTTAGGACAGAGCTACTTGACACTAAAGCGAGTTCCGTACAGCAGAAGCCCTGCAGTGCCTGGCAGAGGGAGCTTTGGGTCAGGGCCATTTACTCCTGGAGGTAGGTACTGCCAGTGAGACAGCCGAGGCTGCGGGCAGGGGGCGTAATTTGTACTGTGATTAGCCTTTTTTTTTTAGAGAGGGTCTTGCTGAGTTTCTGAGGCTGATCTCCAACTGATGATCCTCCAGCCTCAGTTTCCTGAGTCTCTGAGATTATAGGCGTGTACCCCCCATCCTGACCAATTATCATATTGTTTAAAGGAACATATGCCTTTATTTTACTTTTTCATCTGACAGTTTTCATCGTACAAGTTTAAGATCTGTGTTTTGTAATCCATAGTCAAGCTGATTGGGAAATGCTACTTTGCTCTTTGCTGGCCCCTGCTGAGAGGAAGCTGCCCTCCACCACAGGCACACCCTCAGGCCCACCTGATGCTACTGTATGAGCAGGCGTCCTGTGTGTTACCCGTCCTGCCCAGCCCCACCACAGGGGGCGTACAGTGGGTGCTGGCTAGCTGCCTGTTGCAGCAGGAGCATTTGGCATTGGTGGTGCAGTTGTATGGTGTTTCAGTGCGTGTTTCTGGGAAAGGGGAGCTCAGCCTGCATGGTGGACTCTGGCTGATCCCCAGCCCTGTTCTATAGGTAGGGACTAACTCAGGGCATTCTTCATGGTTCAGGCTAGAATTGAGAGTTCTTTCTTTGTATCATTCCAGACTTGACGCTCTCTCACTTTCCCTAGGATCTTCACCTTGTACAGTAAGTCTCTGCCCCTGGACTTGGCCTGCCGCATCTGGGACGTGTTCTGTCGGGATGGGGAGGAGTTCCTCTTCCGAACGGCCCTGGGCATCCTGAAGCTGTTTGAGGACATCCTGACAAGGATGGACTTCATCCACAGTGCCCAGTTCCTGACCAGGCTGCCCGAGGACCTGCCAGCAGATGAGGTGTTTGCGGCCATTGCTACAGTCCAGATGCAAAGTCGGAACAAGAAGTGGGCACAGGTAAGCAGTCTCCTCCTCCTCCTTCTGGTTATATGGCTGGCACTACAGTATAACCTAGGGAGCATGCTGCCCACAGTGCTGAGAAACAGTTCTTGGGCTGCTGGCGAGGAGAGCTGGGCGGCCTCCTGGCTCTGCCTCAGGTTGCTCTATGGGTTCCTGCCTGTTAGAGATCGTGGCATGCCCCCTCCCCTGTATCAGTACTGGGAGCTCAGAGCTTCTAGGAGGCCATACAGTACTCTTCACGTGCCCCAAAGCATTTTGTAAATTAAGCCCTAGACGCTAGACAGAGCAAAAGGGACTGGCTAGCTGGGCCGCCTGGGAGCGGTGTGCCCTGTGCAGCTTGATTCACCTTGCAGATCACAGAAGGAGAAGTCACGGTTGCCTGAAGAGGCCCCGTCCCTTCCAGATATTCCTTCCATTGTGCTGCTCTGGCCTGTGGTTTCTTCTGCATTCCTCCAGGCTCCCATGTAGGGCTTACCCCAGTGGGATTGGTGGGTGTTGTCTCACTCCAAGTTTTAGCTTACTTAAAAGGAAAAAAGGAAGAAAAAAAAAAAAACCTGACTGACTATATTTCTTGAGGTTACCTGAGTACCAGGCCCAGCTGGTGGGTCTGGAGGCTTACCCTTCCCCATACGGGCCAGCTGTGCCTGTTATGGACCTGACTTTCTTATTAGTATATGACTTAAAATATTTACAAAACTAGGACAATGAACCCCACGTGCCAGTCATCAGCCTCGTATCTGTGAAGGGGGACTGTTTCAGTGCCCCTCCCCGTGCTCCCAAGTGTTCTGCATGCAATATGTCCACTGTCATGTTTTGTCTCCAAACCATGCTGGCTCTTGGAACATAAATGATCACAGCACTGCTATCACCCAGAAAGTCCCTGATGCCTTCCTGTCTTCATACACTAGGAATTGTGCTGAGGATCAAGGTTCTGACTGGGCCAGACAGCATAAATGGATCCACGGTCTCACTGATGAAGATCCAGATAGGGTCCTTGCCCTGACTGGCCCGTAGATCTTTGTCTTATACCATCTTTATGCAGCTCCACCTTCTTCTCTTCTGTCCCTTCCCACCCCTCATTTGTGAGGAAGGCAAGCCCTTTGACCTACAGCAAGTCCAGAGCCTGTACTTGGTCACTCTAGGACAGTTATGGTTGAGAGGTACAGAGGTTTCTTCTTGAGGTACAAAAGTGTTCTAAAATTAACTGGTGATATGTGCCCATTTCTGTGAATATCCCCCAAAGCATCAAATTGCACACTTTGAAGGGTGAATTGCATTTCAGTAAAGCCGTGTAAAGGTCTGCCTAGCTGGTGGGGAGGCCTAGGCCTGGCTGGGCTGCGCTAGGTGTCAGGGCAGGAGCGACTTCTCTCTGGCTAATGAATGATGGACGATGTAAGGGCTGTGACTAGAACATTTCCAAGAATTTTAAGCCATGACTGCAGAGCAGTAGGCCATGCCGGGCTGCCTGAACTCTGGGCATGCGACTGCACAGGCTGAATGCCCCTGAAGCTGACCTTGTGTGTGAGGAGGTCTTCTGGAACCTTCTGTGATTTGTTGCTTCCATAGTTTTCTAAAGCCTCAACAGAAAAGTCGGGGCCTTTGTGTTTTGGTGCCGGGGATTGAACCTGGGGGCACTTGACCACTGAGCTACATCTGCAGTCCTCTTTATTTTTTATTTTGTGACAGAGGCTTGCTAAGTTGCTTAGGGTCCCATTGAGTTGCTGAGGCTGGCTTTGAACTTGCAATTCTCCTGCCGTAGCCTCCTGAGTCACTTGGATTGTGGGGTGTGTGCCACTGCACCCAGCCAAGACCTTTCTTAATGGCCTTTGTTCACAGGCAGGGCTGTCCCTACCCTGATTTCACATCTTGTGCATTCGGGGCTTACAGGTCTTTCCTGCAGCTTCCTTCCCTGGTACTTCCTGTGAAAGAAGCTCTCCTGCCCTGCCAGTGGGCGCACAGGCACATGCACACGCGCCCACTGCTTGAATAATCCCCAGCATAGTTTCAACAGATAAAAGAGAGGAGGCAAAATGGCAGAATCTGGGTGGAACTCTTCCATGTGTGCTGTCACTGACATTATTGGGTAGTCACAGTGCCCTGGAATGAGTTTTAAAGTAAAGGTGCAGTGCATTGAGGGCAGTGGAGGGAGCAGCACCAGGGCCAGGCTCTGGGGCGGCCTCTAAAGGGAGGCTGTGAATGGGCTTTGGTTTCTTGGTGATGAAGGAAGAAGCTGACAGGAGCAGCATTGTTCTGTGGGGCTGAGGGAAGAGACTATCCCCACGACCCTGCTGTGACATTGGTGTTATGGCTGGTCAGCATGAGTGTAGGAAATGGCCCACGTAGGAAAGAGGACCCAGAGGGTGGGAAAGTGCGGAGTGGGCGGAGTTGGAGGGGCTGCCCTGGGGGTGGCTGCCATCACGCTGGCTGCGCTGCCTCGCTCTGCTAAGCTCTGCGCACTGCTACCTGCTTCTCTTCGCTCCGCTCCCCTCCGCTCCCCTCCGCTCCACGCTGCTCCTGCTCAGCTCCTGCTCAGCTCCTGCTCAGCTCTGCTCAGCTCTGCTCGGCTCCTCTGCGCTGCGCTGCTCTGCTCTGCTCTGCTCTGCTCCACGCTGCTCCTGCTCAGCTCCTGCTCAGCTCTGCGCTGCTCCACTCTGCGCTGCTCTCATGGGTGTCTTGGGGACAGTGCCTCTCAAGGATTAACCACAGCAGTCTTCTCTGTGCTCTAGGTGCTGGCTGCGCTGCAAAAAGACAGCCGGGAAATGGAGAAAGGAAGCCCGTCCCTCAGACACTGAGGCTGCAGATGTGACCCCCACTGGCACTGAGGCAGGTCTCAGGTGGCACCTGTGTGCTCTCAGACCCACCCCGGCAGTGGCAGCAGAGGAGCAGGCACGCTCTGTTCATGTTGATTCCTGACGCTGGAGTTGGCCTTAAACAAACAGCAAAATCCAGGCTTAGCCTTAAGCAGCTCAGGGGCTGGTGCCCTGGGGGCTGCAGCCAGCCACTGCGCTTTCTGCACAGGTTAAAGACAGGGCAGTGGTTGATCCCTCCTCCTCCTTTGTTTCAGCAAAAGTCAATTAAATTGTAATGCTATTATGCCAGCCACTGGAAAGTACATTACAATTTTTTTAGCCAAATGCATGAGAAATATTATTTTGGGAGATCTCAGAGATGATACTGGCTCATATTTTAGATGAGAGGAATCGCTGATTTAGTTATTGAGATGATCTTTCCAGAACTGGAGGCCATGAGTTTGAAACCTGCCTACCAAGACAACAGGAGATGGACACATGGGGAGTGTTGCTCTTGGGCTCCCTGGGAGTCCACATGACCTTCATATTAACACTTGACCATGTTGCCTTGACAAAATCACAGCAGGAAGGCCGACAGTGCACGTTAGGTTTCCGTGGGAACCTGCCTCCCAGAGTCCTTGGAGCTGTGGTGAGGAGCCGGAGCAGGGGACTGTGTGCAGAAGGGGCCTGTGGCGGCAGAACACCCCCGGGAGCTGATGTGAACAGCCTCCTTTAAAGAACAGGGTGCCCCTTGCACCTGCTTGTTTCCAGGGAGGCTGAGGATGGCTGTGTGGTGCTGGAAACCGAAGCATGTGAGGGGTTTGCTCCTGTGCTCTGCAGAATCCCCATTTCACTTTTGTCATGAATAGCTGGACTGTCCTAAGTGCCAGGGACCCCCTGACACACCTGGCTTTCCAAGGTGTTTCACAAACCACCATGAGGACAGAGGAGCGAGCAACACGTACTTAACCAGTCTTGTCAGAATTCTCATTGTCTGGACCATGATCCCTTTCCCATTTTAGCTGATTTTCCCAAGTTTATTGTCAATTTTTTTATTCTCGCTTTTCCTTGACTATTTTGAGAACTTTGTATAAGAAATTTGATTTCCCAAATTCACAGAAATGAGCAGTTTTTGCATGGACTAGTCCAACGAGAGATGGAAACAAGTTCCCACCTGGTAACCCATTATTAGCATATTGGCCTTTGGGGGTGCAGACAGGCCAGGCTCAAGGACACAGCCAGAGTCTGGAAGTGCTGGTGTGGTCTGCACTCACCTTTCTTAGCCATTTCTCCCACCCCAGGGAACAGCTCCTCTTTGAGGGAGGCCCTGGTGCTGTACCACATGCAGCAAGGGGGCTTGGGCTGGGGGTGCAACCAGCATGGGGGTGGCCTGTCCTGATGAACTTTCTGCATCTGCTCTGCCTGCTGGCCATATATCAGGTGCCGCAGCAGGTTAGCAGGCCAGGGTCATGTGCACACCCTCTGTCCTACTCCATGTGTCCCTCTTCTTGGAACCTCCCCTCCCCTTGCATTCTCCTGTGAATTCTCGAGGGAGGTTCTAGAGCATGATGGGTCCCACAACACCTCAGCCTTGGAAGGCCGCCTTGCCTGACCTCGTGGACGAGGTGCCATCTTCACCTGTGGTCCTGGTGGCCTCCAGACCCAGCCATTCCTGACATGGAGGTATTGAATGTAGTTAGGCCAGTGGCCTGTGCACTGTCTTCCTTGCAGATGTGCGCAGTTGCGTGCGTGATGAGGGTGTTCTGTTCTTTGAAGATGTATATATTTTCTTACTGTACATAACAATGCTCCTTAGATCGTAGAGAGGTGAGGAGCAGGCTCCTGCCCCACCCTCGCCATTGCTTGTCAAATGGCCCGACATCAATCTGCAGTGTGCATGAAGGTTCAGACCAGGCTCCCTGCCAGTCTGGGACGTTTGCCACATCTTCAGTCCAGACGAGGTTTTGGGGGCCTTTTAAGGGATCATATGAGTTCCATGTGTCCCCTAAGAGGTTGTAGAGTTCTAAGTCCTGTCAAGGGTCCTGTGGTCCCTCTGGGCAGAGTGCTGTTAGCAAGCACAGCATCCTGCTTCTCTGAGGCTGCTGCTTAGGTGACCTGGCAACTCTGCTGTGCTGCTCTCTTGGAAGTTTGCACTGTCCACCTCAAGGGCCAGGGACTTTCTGTACCCCAGGGCTTGGGGTCAGCAGCAGCTTGCCCTTTAGACCCAAGAGCCACCTCCAGAGTCATTGAGATCTCATTTGGGAACAATGTTCACTTCAGAGGTACTTTGTAACTGCTTGGCTTCTGAGTTTTAAAGAGCTGCTGATAGGAACTCCTGATAACATTGCTGCAGATCATGTTTTAATGGCTCGAACAGTTAACCTCTGACTTTATTTAGTAAAGTGTATCAAACTAGGACTTTTTGAATTGTAAATATGTAGTTTTATTAAATAAAAGTCATGTAAAATTGTTACTTGTATTCTCTGTAGTTTGGTTTAAAATTGAGGTTCTTCCTTGAAGCATGGCAGAAATTTGAGCATCTGCTGCTTTGAAATCCACATCTAAGCTTGTTCATCAAAAAGAGGATGCAGCCCAGGGTCCCTCTCTGCTGTGCTGGAGGGGCCCCCCTGTGCTGCTGCCTCTCTTCAAGCTATCCTGTTGTGACCTTCACCGCCCCTGCGCATGTCACCACTCACCCCCCAGGGTCCCTCTCTGCTGTGCTGGAGGGGCCCCCCTGTGCTGCTGCCTCTCTTCAAGCTATCCTGTTGTGACCTTCACCGCCCCTGCGCATGTCACCACTCACCCCAGAGTGCAGCAGGCACTCACTGTGTGCCAGCCCCTGGGCTAAGGGCTCCTTGCAATTCCTCAGAAGCCTGTGAGTCAGGTGCTGTGACCCAGTAGTGTGGTGGCAGGGCCTTCTCTGTGGGGCAGGGTCAGTAAAGCTGTTGGTGGAGAGRGCTGGAGGGCCGGGAGGTACTTAGACCCCAGCGGAATGAGTGCACCCACAGGCACGAGGCTGGGAGGAGGAGGCACACTCAGAAGGGTGCTCAGACACAGAGCCACCTTCCATTGAGCCCAGTGGCTTCTCTCTGCGCCCCTGTCCCTGCAGGCTTTGAGGTAGGCTGGCTAGCTGCAGGGTAGTGGACAGCAGCCACTTTTGCTGAGAGCTGTCTGGCTGCTGTGGCCACACCGGGCACTAGGCCAAGCACTGTGGAAATTAAATTTAATTTCATTTAATTTCCACAGCAGCTTTGTGGAAGATCATTGTCCCCTTCCACACATGTGACACAGAGAAATGGTTTTCTCAGGCTGCTATAGCTGGGTGGTGGCAGAGCAGGTCTCAGACACCCTCTGGAGAGATCTCGTTTGCTCTGGGACCTTCTGGAGCCTGGCTCCTTAAGTCCTGGTGGGGACACTTGCATCATCTGTGCATGGCCTGCAGGGCAGCTGGAGGCTGATGGAGGGAGCTGTGGATTATGAATGCTAAAACACGATGGGCAGACACTTGTTCCTGGGCACTGTACACCTGGGGAGTGGGGCTGACAGTTCAGACACCATTCCAAAAGTGTGGAGCCTGCCACCAAGGCACAGAAGGGCCAACACACAGGCATGGCACCCACACAGTGTGGGGGCAGGTACACCCCCGCTGTACTTTGGGAGGAGCTGCTGGTCTCCTGGTGGGAAGGGAGGGGGCTGGCCAGCAGAGAGAGACCTCAGAGACAAGACCAGTCCCCTCAGACGGGACCATGTTAAGATGTGGAGGGACTTCAGTTTTCAGGGAAATCCTGAGACCCGCATTGTATGGTGCCAAATACGTGCTCAGACATTTGCTGATGATATTCAGGCTCTTGCCTGGAACTTGGCTGAGAAGTATCCAGATATCTCTGAGAGGCTCAGGGCGCCATCTAGTGCCTGTCCTGCTCCAAGGCTTCTCTGAGCACTGCTCCCTGCAGCCAGCCTGCTCTGGGATGGCGGATTCCCTTCCTGGGCAGGTTCACACCAAGGCCAGGTCTCCCTGGATCAGCTGAAGCCCCTTTCCCAGGGTGCACACACCTTGTGGGACATTCTGTGCAGAGTGAGGAGAACTGTCCTCTGCTCTGACATTACAACAAAATGAGCTACCCGTGGACTTGGAAGCCTGGCTCTGGACCCCAGAGCCTCAGTTCATCTTAAGTGGTGTTCCTTCATCTTTTTCCCCTGCTGTGTGGCTCCTGGTAGAAAGGCTCCAGCTAAAAATAAAGCTGAACTTGAGGTGCAGTTTGGGTAGATGTTAAGAACGGACCTGGGGTTGAATCTTCTACCCACCCATTGCCATTAGGAGCTCTGTGACCTAGTCCTCATTTTCTTTTTCCACAACTGAAGGTTTGGAAGAGGACCCAGCTCCTACCCACTGGCTTGTGAAGATGAAACAAAAACAAGAGGCTGAACTAACCCTACCATAAAAACCCCAGAAACATCCGGTGGATTGCTAGACTCATTCCCTTAACAGTATTTAGTGTCTTACGCTCTTGAACTTATGAATTTTTAAAAAACTGAAATTATCTCCCAATTTAAATCCATGTTAATTGTGTAGAATTGGGGAATACAGGAAAGAAAATTAAAATTCCTCTAATTTTATCATCGGATAAGGGATACTGTTTTCCTATTCTGCTTTTTTTCTAGAAATGCATTTCCCCATTTTACAGATGAGTTCATTGTCCCAGGCTGGCCTGATGCCAGAGTCTTCGCCCCAGGCTAGATCTTTCTAGATAGGCCTGTGCTCACCCATGGCAGCCTTAGGGGAGTGTGATCTTTTTTTTTTTTTTTTAAAGTGTGAAAGGCATAGAATAAAGAGAAAGGTTATTTATTATTTATTTTTTTTTAAGAGAGAGAATTTTTTTAATATTTATTTTTTAGTTTTCGGCAGACACAACATCTTTGTTGATAGGTGGTGCTGAGGATCGAACCCGGGCCGCACGCATGCCAGGCGAGCGCGCTACCGCTTGAGCCACATCCCAGCCCATGATCTTACTTGTTAAAACCAATATGTAAGTASAAACTAGAGGACCTTTGAGAAGTAGTAGAGAAAGTGCTGCACAGTTCCCAAGAGCCCTGTGGTCCCTTCCATTCTTGCATTTGTGGGACTCATCACAGCGGTGCTAGCTGGAAGCTTAAAAGTGAAAAGCACCAAGTCAAGGTACCAGAGCTGCCGTTGTCTTATGGGCAGGCTCCCACACCAGGGCCAAGACAGAACTAGGGCTACAGACAATCTCGTACGGTTACATAATGTAAAAATCTCAAGTGCAGGAAGTCACCATAAATGACTTCCACTTAGCAAAGGTAAATGTTTCCTTCTCAGGGGCCCTGGCCTCTGCTTAGGTGGGCACCTGATTTACAAAACTGTCCTATAAAATTGAAGGGGACACTTGGGGATTTATACCTATTAAAAAGGTTTAGTTTCATGTAGCATCTTGCTCACAATGTATTTTTCAGGCCCTGCACTCTGATAAGAAGGCCTTTGCTCATGGTGCTGTGGATCAAACCCCAGGCTTCACACCTGCTTGGCAAATAATCTGCCGCTGAGCCCCAGCCCCAGCCCAAGCCTTTGCTTTTAACACTCATAAAGATAACCTCCTTGTGACAGTCCTGTCCTGTGGATCATCTGCATTGGGACTGTCCACAGTCTACCTGCAGTGTTTCTTGCTTTGACTACAAAACTGCCCCTGCCATATTCCCTCCTTGGTTTCACTTTTGAGAGGATGGTCTTTCTTCCTGTAATTTATTTCTGAATCCAACACAGGGCTTAGCAGTTTCTGAGACATAACATTCAAATAAGGCCTATTTTCAGAATGTGAAGGAGATGGGTTAATACATTAGCATAATGCCAAACAACCTGCTGGCCTCCAGGGACCTAGATCTCAGTGGCGGGTAGAAGCCTAAGGAGGCACTCTCTGAGCAGGGACTGCATGCTGGATGGGCCACAGACAGCGCTGTGGACTTCTTCCTTCAGAAGTTACCCTAGGAAACAGTCTGTGGAGTGTTGCTCTTTCCTGGTGAAGCCTGGCCCTGTAATCGGATTGGAACCACAGGAGGTGGGGCCACAGGAGGGGGTGTATCTGTCCAGCACAGGGACTGTAACCTGAGGACATTGGTGACTTACTTTGCAGTCCTTACTTGGTCATTTGCAGCTTAAAGCTTTCTGCAGCTGGGCTGGGATCCACTTGTCACGGGGTTCCAAGCTGCAGGATTCGGCTGGGCAATGCTGTTGGTCCAAAGTCAGCTGAGAATACCAGCTCTCTCTACAGTACACCAGAGAGACAAAGGACAGCATTATCATGAAAGCCACTGCTTGGTCAAGACATGCAGCACTGTTGACCCTTCACCAGGAGGCTTCCCCAGCAGCAGAAGAACCCAGTAGGCCTGCACTGCTTCTAGCTGGAGCCACAAAGAAGAGAGTTCTGTTGGCAGGGACTTACTGCTCCACTTGGCCTTGATGGACAAGGGGAGAAGGAAGACCCATCACAGTAAGGGGAGGACGGCAGTGGAAATCTAAGCTTTTTACTGTCTGCCTCAGTACATGTGGGTGACATCAGAGAAAATAGTGTACTCAAGCCATGGAAGTTAGGAGTTTTAATTTTCCTCTACCTCACAGGGAATATGCTTTAGAAAACGAAATCATGTCATCAAAAGACAAAGCAGTGGCAACATTCTCAGCCACTGAGCCACCTGCCCTGAGTGGGGTTTCTACCAGTCTTCAGAGGCACCCAGCACCAAAGACGGATGGTCTTCCTATGACCTATGAAGTTTAGGAATGAGCGAGCACCCTGTTGCCATCAGAGCACTCGGCTGGGTGTGGAAGGCTGTCATATGTGATGGCAGCAGCCACCGTTCACAGTCTTGCACCTGGTAAAACCAATGGTCACTGTTTTGTTTCCCCTGGGAAAAAACATGCCACTTTTATTTTTTTAAACAGATCAATGCAGTTTTTTCAGAGGATCCAAGAAAATGTTTTGATTCTAATGGAAAACCATCATCAAGACAGAAACATAAATGGTGAGAAGACTGAGCTTCCTTCCACTGAAAAAGTAAAGACAACCAAGCATTTGGCTTCCTTTCCTGTTGGTCCTCCTTCCTGTTTCCTGGAGAGAGAGGGATGGATGGATATTTACACGCCAGAAGCTAGTACTGGCTACTGACAAAGCAAGATCAAGGGGACTTTGTAAGTTTCTAATTGAGACAGTAATTCAGGACTACACAGCTTAATAAATCCAAAGAGAATTTAATAATTTGCTTAAGCATAGACTTTTTGGTACTCTGCCCACTTGTTGAACTTCACCTACTTACACATAGAAGAGGAACAGTGCTCTTTAGTACTAAGTTACTGAAATTATGGAATTGCTCAACTCTAGTTTTTCCTGAGAAGTCATGTTACATTAAATCACTCCATTTTTGTTTCTCTGGGTCTATTGCTTCAATCCATGTAAAATTGCTAACCCAATTTTGTGGTCAGCACTAGTTTTGAAGCTGAAAAATGAGAAAAACATCATGGTTCCTAAACCAGAGATCATAGGCCTCTTAAGGATAGCAACAAGGGAAAGTAAAAGTGGATGAGACAATGTTCTGCTGCTCTATTCGTCCACCATATCAGGGGGGGAGGAAGGCTTTGGCTTCCCTGATCTTCTGCCTCATACCTTTGCAGGATAAAGTAAGCCCAGCGTGATGGCGCTTAAGGGATTCTAGGCGCTGGTTGAGTAGTTCAGTCTTGTCCATCTTTTCTTCCAAGTCCCGAAGCAATGATTCCTTGCCCAGAAGGCCGCACTTCTGGTTCAGCTTGATGTTGTCACCCCTCAGGCTGTCTCGGGCTTGCTTGGTCTTGGTCAGGATGTCCCTTCCTAGAGCCACCTGAGCCTCAATTTCCAAAAGCTGTGCCTTTCTGCATGCATTCTCCATATCCATGAAGTGCAGCTTTTCCTTCACATGGGTTATTATCTGCACATTGTTGGTCACCTTGTTGCGAAGTTTTAAAAGTTCCTCATTTCGTTCCTCCACTTTCTCGTTGAAGGTCTGGTTCTCAATCTTAAGCTGTTCAAAATCAATGAGGAGCAGACCTTCAGTCAAGTCCTCCTGGGCCTTCATTCTGGTTTCAAAATGCGACAGGCTTTGCTTCAGCTGCACGTTCTCCAGCCGAACGGCATTCATCTCCTTCTCCTTTTTATCCTCCAAGGCCTGGATCTGCTCCACCTCCCGCAGTGCAGCCTGGCGCCCACCCCGCATGCGGCAGCTGCCCATGGCCTGCATCACCACCTGCTTCTTGAGTGCCTGGAATCGGTGCCACTCCTTCTCTACCCTGGCCACCTTCTCCTGGCACTGCTGCTTCAGCTGGGCCAGCTCCTGGTGATACCATTCCAGGTCATCGGCCTCTTGCTTCTTCATGTCCTCCAGCATGGCCAGGTAGTGCAAATATGCCTGTTCTTTCTCGGGGGCCTCAGGCTCTGGGCCCTTATCTAGCGCCTCCACTGCTTCCACGCCCTTCTTCTTGCGCAGCACCTCACAGATCTTGTGCTGCAGGTACACATTGTAGCGCTGATAGCGGTTCCGCTCTACCACCAGGGTGTTGTACTGCTCCAAGAGCTCATTGCGAAGCTGCTGCTCCTCCAGTTTCTGCACCTCCTCCGACCACTCTTGGTCGTGGTAGTCCACCGAGCCCAGTAGGGAAGATTTCTGCCTTTCCTTGCTTTTCTCCTTTCTTTCAGCACTCTCTACCTTACTCTCCTTCTCCTCCTTCTCCTCCTCCTCCTCCTCCTCCTCCTCTTCTTCCTTCTCTTCCTCTTCTTCCTCTTGCTTAGGTTCCTCTCTTTCAGTCGCTGGGGCTGGAGCAGCATCCTCGCGGGTAGTGGATAACTGCACAGAGTCGCTAGACGGGGCTTTCTTCTTAGTCGTCGTCTTCTTCTTTGCTGCCGCTCTCTCCTCCTCTTTGTCGTCGTCGTCGTCGTCGTCCTCCTCCTCGTCCTCCTCGTCCTCCTCCTCTTTCTCCCCCTTCTCTTCCTCCTCCTTCTCTTCTTTTTCCTCCTTCTCTGTAGCCTCCTCCGGTTCTTCAGGCCTGGTTTCGGATTGCGGCTGGGCCGCCGCCTCTTCGGGCTCAGGTTTGGGTTCGGGTTCCGGCTCAGGCTCAGGTTCAGGCTCTGGCTGCTTCCCCGGCTCTCCTAGCCCGTCCTCGTCCGCGGCCTCGGTGGCCGCCGGCCCTTCTGGCGCCTCGGTCGGCTCGTCCTCGGCGGCGCCTCCCTCCTCGATCTCTACCAACCCAGCCGCCTCCGCTGCCTCCTCTGCCTCCGGCTCAGGCTCCGAGGTTTCGGCGGGGCTCTGGAGGTCAGAGGTAGCCTTGGTCCCAGAGACGAGGCTTTCCCCATCTCCGCTTTGGTCCAGAGAGTCCCCAGCGCGCTCGGAATCCCCTTCCATCTCCGACCACTGCTCCAGGCCGCGGACCCGGGCTGAAGCTGTTAGGTTTCCCGGGGCAACCGGGCGCACGCGCTGAGCCCCGCGATTGGTCAAACACTATTTGGCATCCTGCCCCTCCACCCCACCTCCGGCCAGAGTCGGCCAATACGAGGCCGCGAGAGGGGCTGATTGGACTTGGGCGCCGGGCGGTGCCTCGGAGGGAGTGGCGCGCCCTGGCCGCTTCCGGTCCGCGCACYTCCCACTGCCGGACCGAGGGCGGGGCGTCGTGGGGGTGGTGGCGGCCGCGAGGGCGCGCAGGCGCAGCGCGGCGGGCTGGCGGCCGGGCGGTGGCGCGCGGGCGCCTGCGCGATGCGGCGGGGCGACGGCGGCGGCGGCCGGCCCGGGCCCGAGGGCGCCTGCGTGTTGCGGCGGGACGCGGCCCGGCTGGCCGGCTCGGGCGGCGCCTGGGCGGGGGCTGCCGTGGCTGCGGCAGGAGGCGCGGGCGCGGCGGCTGGCGCGGCGGGCGGCTGCGCGCTGACGGCGGGGGGCGCGGCGGGCCGGGCGGGCGAGCGGGGGAAGATGGCGGAGCTGGGTAAGAAGTACTGCGTGTACTGCCTGGCCGAGGTGAGCCCGCTGCGCTTCCGCTGCACCGAGTGCCAGGACATCGAGCTGTGCCCCGAGTGCTTCTCGGCCGGCGCCGAGATCGGCCACCACCGCCGCTACCACGGCTACCAGCTGGTGGACGGCGGGCGCTTCACGCTCTGGGGGCCCGAGGCCGAGGGCGGCTGGACCAGCCGCGAGGAGCAGCTGCTGCTGGACGCCATCGAGCAGTTCGGCTTCGGCAACTGGGTGAGCGGAGGCYGGCGGGCGGGCGGGACCTGGGCGCCCGGCAGGTGTGCGCGGGGCCGGGCGGCAGGGGCGCCCTGGGAGCCGCGCGGGCCTGCTGTCTCCGATGCCTGTCCCGTCCTGTGTGCGCGCCGGGGGTGTCCGCGGGCGCCCTGAGGGTCGGCCATGCCCAAGCGCTGCGGCCCCGCGACACCCAGGACACTGTGCAATGAATGGCCAGTAATGATGAACAAAGGCACCTGCACTGGCAGGCACGGGCCCCAAGGTCTGCCCTGCTCTGTCAGAAGGTTTCCGTAAAGACGCGTCTGAGAGAGAAGGTGAGAGCTGGGCTGGACTCCCTACACTGTCCGTCGTGCCCCAGGCTCTCTTGGGGAGAGCRGAGCGTTTCTTTAGGTTTCAGAGGAGTCCTCTGCCCACTGCTTATCCATACCAGAAAAGAAGAATAAAAATCTCTGGCTGCATTGTCACCAAAACCACCAAGGATGTGCAGCCACCTTCAGGCTTTCTGAAAAGTAGGAAAGCGACACTGGACCCTTAATGGCTCTTCCCCCACAGTGCTGCTCTCCTGCCTCCCACCTGCTGCTTTCATCTCCTCTTGCTTTCCTCAAGACCATTCTGCAGCCCTGGAATCTGTTCTTATAATTCATTAGGAAAGAAGTTGATCCACAAATTACTACCTGATCACTACCCTCCAGACACCTCTGCCTCACTTTGTCCTCACGTGCTGTTTGTGGTTGCACATTGAGCATCGGCTTTGTGCAGAGCAGACACTGGTGAAGGATCCTGAAGGGGAGAAGCCCTCAACCTTGCCTTCAGGGAGCTTATAGTAGTGTGTTCATTTGCTCTAGGCTTCTGCCTTCTGGTTCCCTGCTGACCTACACAGTGACCTGGACTCAGCGCCATGCTCATCACTCAGGTTGCAGCTGACACCCGTCGTGAATGCCTTCTTCCATGCCTAGTTCATCAGCAGCCCCCTTTTCAAAATATGTGCAGAACCTAACCCCACTTGGGACCCTAATGCAGGCTGACCTTCACCCCTCTGCTTGTCTCCCTGCTTAGTTCTCACCTCATCTCACACACACAATCAGTGATATCTTAAGCACAAGTCTCATCTCATGGGCCCTGGTGGCTTCCAGGTCTACTGGGATTTACCTCACTGTCCACTAGGCCATCCAGTGTCTCTGGACCACTGGAGCCCCACTGGTTACCCTGATTCTTCTTCCTTTTTTCTGCACGGTGTGTGCTACCTCCAGCAATGGCTCGAGACTGAGTTCTGCTTAAATGAGTGCCTCAGAGAGACCCATCCTGGCCGTCATTCTTCCAGCACTTATTGCCACAGTATATCTGGGGGCACTGAGCGCTGCAGAGTGCCCTGCTCCGAGTGGAGCACTTTGTATKCAGCTCTTGAAATCTCAACAGCCACAGGTTTGGGATGCTCAGGACAGCTGGGGCCTTCTCTGCAGCACTATGGGAAATGAAATAGCACCCCGAAACTAAAACATTCATGGTGTCTGGGAAGAGGCTGGGCTGGAAGTGGGGAGGCTTCTTTTCTAACAGTCCTTTTCAAACTAATGCACTGGGAAGCTTGTTAGAATGCAGATTTTGGCTGGAGTAGACTGCATTCTTATTAGCCCAGGAGGAAGGGCCTTGGGACTTGCTGCTCTTAGTGTAGGCTAGGCCTTGCCACCTGCTGGGCTCTGGCAGGCCTGAAGTGCTGCCTTGCTAACAGGCCACAGGTGCTGCCCAGGACAGCACTAGTTCCAACACTGAGTAGGAAGTGCCATTTTTCTCCAGCTGTGTCATCTTGGGCTGGTTGTTTCCCTCCGTAGGCTTCATTTTTCTTCACCTGAGGCTCTTTCACAGTTTGCACGTGTGGTTCTCTTTCAAGTGTTTATGCTGATCCATGCCCAAAAGTCCTATGCTCCACTCGGTACAGCAGGCCATGTCAGTTCTGTACGGGCTCTTCCTGTACGTAGCTCATGTGATCTGAACAGTTCTTATTCCTAATTTACAGTTGAAGAACAGCAACTGTGAGACTGAGCTGCTTGTCCAGGAGTCCACAGCTTTGCGTGCAACAGGGCCAGGTTTGAGCTCAGGCCTGCTGACTGCAGCCAGGGCCTTCCCATGGTGTAAGAGCATTAAGTAATGTGGGTCGGAGGCCCAGAGCTATTGATAGGGCTGGAGGTGTGGACAGGCTGGAAGAGCTATCCTGCAGCCAGACTGGGGCCTGCTTCAGGGAGAGATTAGAGGCGGGGAGGTGACTGGGTGAGGGCAGGAGCAGGTCCAGGGGCTGGGGCTGGATATGGAAAGAGGCATTGTGGGCATCAGGGAGAGTGAAGAAAAGATGAGGCCTGTGTAGCTCTGGTTTCAGATGGCAAGTGGGGAGACGGCCCGGGCTGTGTGTTCAGTGTGGAGCTCTAGATGGGGTGAGCAAAGAAGGCAGGGTTGAGGTGTTGCTGAAGTCTGGCAGCTGAGGCGGGGGAAGGGGGGCAGCTGAGGGGAACGAGGTGTATCCATTGACCCAGGAGGGTTTGGGGATAGTCATGGTCATGGTCTGGCACAGGTGTACCCATGTGTTGGACAGTGGGGGGGGGGGGTAATGTGGGATGAGACCTTGGCAACAGTGTGGAAGAACTGGCCAACAGACAGTGACCCTGTGGGTCAGGTCCACTGGGCACTGAGGGTCTCCAGGTAGCTGGTGGGTTCCACAGGTTCAGAGTTGGAGCACAGGGACACCTCTAGAACACAGTCACAGAATTTCAGGACAGTTGGAGACTTTACTGGAAGAGCCACGGCTTTGTTGGTTATCCCAAGTCCCTGAGCGTTGCTGAGGAGGCTAATGGAGGAGGTCCCACCTCTGTGGACTACATTCAGGGGCCTTGGGAAATGGGGCTCAGTCTGGCTCTGCAGGGTTTGGATAAATGAGATGAGCAACTGGGAAGGGCCTGGTGGCCTGTATGGTATACTCAGGTTTGTCCTTGGAGGCAGGCGGGATGTCCTGAGTCCGTCACGTTTGCCYTTCCTGCTGGGCACTGCCCTATAGTGGGTCACGGCGTCGTACACTCACTCATCTGCCAACTGGCTCTTGCTCAGTGCCACTGTGTCAGCCCCTCCAGAGACTCTGCTAAAAGTGACAGCCTACGAGCTTTCAGGGGCTGTGGGGTGAGCCACAGTTCTTGTCCTGAGCTGGCCAGATGGAAAGGTAGTGAGTGGAAGGAGCTGTTCCGCGTTCTAGGAGTCCGATGTATTTGGGGAAAGGGAGGACTGGAGATGGAGACTCTGTCCCCATGGGGCGGGCAATGAAGGCAGGTGAGCTTGTGTGCAGTTAGGGTTTGGGCTGGGATTTTGGAGCTGCTTCCTGTTCCCGAGGTTGTGCTGACACGAGCTCCCCTTGCCCCACCCTGAGGCCAGATTCTCCCTTTTACAAACGAGGTAACTATTGTGAGTGCTGAAGGATGGGGCAGAGCTGGAGTTTGGGTCCAGGTCTTCTCCCTGCTCTGTGGTTTCCCTGACAGCACAGCCAGAGGCCACCAAGCCCAGGGCCCAGCCTGGACGCTGACCTGGCCTCTCCAAGGCTCAGATGGAATCTACAGTATTTATAAAAAGGATCTCACGAGCTCCGAGGCAGCAGGTCCCAAGCCCGTGAAGCTGAATTTGGGAGCTGAGAGCTGGGCCCTTCCACTTCTCTCTGGGCAGAAGGCTGCTTTCGGAGCAGGTGATCTCCAGCCCACAAGTGTCTTGATAGTGGGTTTGTAGGACTTGCTTTAAGGAAAGGCTGGAGGGAAGATCTTGGATGGGGAAAGGGGCTAAATTTAATAGGGCCAAGCACACTTCAGTGTGCATCGGATCATCCAGGAGGCCACATCTCGTGCCACACATGTGAGTCAGCGATATTTCCTGCAACTTCCCAGGCTGGTCAGCAACCCTTCCTTAAGAGCCACTGAGCCAGGCATGGTGGAACATGCATGTAATCCCAGTGATCTGAGGAGACTGAGGCAGGAGGCTCAAGTTTGAGGCCAGCCTCAGCAACTTAGTGAGATCCTGTTTCAAAACAAAAATTAAAAAGGGCGGGGATGTAGTGCAGTGGTGGAGTGCCCCTGGCCTCCAGTACAGGAAAAGGGAAAAAAACCAAAAACCACCAAGGTGGAACAGGAAGATGTTTCTCTTAAAAGAAACTGTTAGGCAGGGTGGGTAGCACATGCCTGTAATCCAGCGACTGAGGCAGGAGGATTGCAAGGCCAAAGCCAGCTTCAGCAACTTAGTAAGGCCTGAACAACTTAGTGAGACTCTATCTCAAAATAAAAAGGACCGAGGCTGTGGCTCAGTGGTTATGTGCCTTTGGGGTTCAATCCCTGATACCCCCAAAATAAGAAAAACTGTTAATAATTATTATTATGATGATGATTATTGGTACTGGGGATTGAATTTAGGGACATTCAACCACTAAGCCACATACCCAGTCCTATTTTGTACTTTAAGACAGGGTCTCACTGAGTTGCTTATTAGCACCTCGATGTTGCAGAGGTTGGCTTTGAACTCACGATCCTTCTGCCTCAGCCTCCCGAGCTCTGGGATTATAGCCATGTGCCACCACACCTGGCTTAGAATATGAAATTTATCATCTTAACCTTTTTCTCTTTTTTTTTGGCAGTACTGGAGACCAAACCCAGGAGTGTTCTGCCACTGAGCTACATGCCCAGCCCTATTTATTTTGAGACAGGATCTAGCTAAGTTGCCGAGGCTGTCCTCTAATTTATGATCCTCCTGCCTTAGCATCCTGAGTCGCTGGGATGACAGCTGCCCACCAGTACCCAGCCACTTTAACCATCTTAGGCGTGCAGTGCAGTGGCACAGCACACATTTTCGTTGCTATGCAGCCATCATTACACCTACCTGTAGGACTGCAGTGTCCTCCCTACAAGTTCCACTCCTTACCCTCCATCCTCAGCCCATGGCAGTCACTGTGCTGTCTCTGAAGCCAGCCACCCCAGGGCCTTTTGAAGCAGGCAGTGCCTGTCCTTCTGTGGCTGATGTGCCCCACCTAACAGGATGTCTTCTCCTTCTCCCTTCTCTTCCTCTGCTGCTGAGGATGGAACCTAGGCCCTTGCACATGCTAGGCAACCACCCTACCCTGGAACCACACCCCTGGCCCTTTGTATTTCTTGAGACAGGGTCTTATGAGGTTGCCCAAGCTGGCCTCGACCTTGTGTTCCTCCTGCCTYGGCCTCCCATGGCTGGGATCACAGGCATGGCCACCACTATGCCTGCTGAGTTTAATTTGTATCGTAGCATGTGCTGGCCAGTGAAGTTTCACTGTGGGCTGCACCTCACTCTGTTTACCTGTGGGTGACCACGGGCTGCTCAGCCCTGGGGGTGCCTGGTGTGTGCGGATCTCTTCAGTTTCCAGTGCTCCGGGTCACTACCTAGAGGCAGAACTGCCGGAGCGGAGTCTACGCTTGGTTTCTGAGGAGCTGACCTGCTCTTTCCTGCAGGGCCATGCCGCTCGTCTCAGCTCTGTCACARGTGGCCTCATCTGACCCTAGGCTTTCATCACCAGGCCCTAATGGCAGTCCTGTCTGTTGGTGAGTCCTTTGAGTGTGGAGAGGAGGACGGCGATCCAGAACTGAGGCTTTCATCCATACAGCCCAGGAGTGGTGGCCAGGGAAAATGGTCTTAGGGGACCCCATCTGACACCCTGGAAGGATGGGCTGCGAAGCCAGTTTGAGTCCACGATTCCAAGGGCTTGTCTGACCTGGACGGAGGCAAAGCTGTGTGCAGGGCGGTTCCTCTTTCTGACAGGCTGGGGGACTGTTGATGTCCCCATCTGCCTTTTTCTGGACATACTATCCTGCTGTCGCCTGTGGGAAGGTCCTGGGGGTTGCTAGCTGGGTGTCCTTGCAGGCCAATGTCTAGGGGAGAACTGAAATTGGTGGCATAGGAGTGGCTTAGCTGTGGGAGGTGACGGCAGGACTGAGAGGATGAGAGAAGCTTTGTCCAGCCTGGGGACCATGCCCAAGTGCACATTTGGTCAGCGGGCAAAGAAGGCAGTGCACGGAGCTCCTAAGAGGGGGGAGCCTCAGCCTCCCAGGTCTCCTGTGTATCCTGAAGAGTGGCCGGAGGGTGACCACCAGGAGGCACAGGCAGCATGAGTGCCAGAGCACTGATGTAGGGGTGAGAAGTGAACGGTGTGGGACGGCGTGGAGTGCCTCCAGGGTGCCCTGCCTGCCACCATGTGTTCTGCACCCTGTTCTTCCCCTGCGGTAGCAGCTCCTCCCGTCCTTCAGGACACTCAGCAGCTGGGCTGGGTTTCCACAGTACAGCAGCACTTGTTTAACGTGTGCAAGGGCCTGGACCCAGTCCCGGCACCAAAGGGGAAAGACTACCCAGCGGTGGGTTCTGGTTCCTGTCTTCTGCTTCTGCCTGGCCTTGCGGGTGGTCCTGCTCTCAGGCTGCCCTCCCCTGGTGGAGCCCCCAGACCCTGCTCCCCAGAAGGGCAGCCTCTGATGGCTTCTGGCCCTTCCTATGAGTCTTCCTATGCTCTTCTCCATTTGAAGAGAGACTGAAGCAGGAGTCGGGCCTCTCCTTAGAGACAGTGCATGCCTACCTACCTCTACAAAGTCTGGCCCCGGGCTACCTAGGAAGGGAAGCCCTGCACCATGGCCCACCCCAGCCTTGTCCTTTGTCTTGTACCTCACAGTCCAGGTGCCAGGTGAAGAGAGGCCGCAGGGCCTTGAGACCTGTGGAGGAGCAGTGGACAGAAGCACACTCAAGGCTGAGCCAGGGCACTGGGTGTGTGCAGCCTGTGTCCAGCATGCCCCTCTGGAGGCCAGGCTCTGCCTGGGTCACGGTCTGGGAGGAAGTGTAGCAGCCCGGGGCCCAGCCTTGCCATTTGTTGTTATAGCAGCAGGGATTGTCTGAGGCAGGGTGTGCGCTGTGCTATGAGAGTGTGGGGTGCCAGGCACACGCTCCTGGCCAGGCCGCTGGGGATGGATGCGGCTCAGCAATGACCAGCCTTGTGCCCGGATGGCAGCTCACCAGAAGGCTGACTTTCCTGATCTGTAAAACATGGGCCATAGTGGCACTGATTCCCCTAGGGCTGTGTGAGGACTTGGCAGATCGTGTCTGTCACCGTGCTCTCTGTCTTCATCTTGACTGGGGAAACACATAGGACAAGGAGGGTCACAGACCCTGCCGCAGCCATGAGGACTGGAGCCATGAGGCCAGGATGTGTGCCAGCTCCAGGGGCCACTGAAGGCTTCCTGGACGAGAGGTCCTGGGTCTTGAGAGACGAACACAAGTCTTAGGAGTGAAGCTGACAGCTCCTGGATGGCAGCAGTAGCTGACAGGAGCACAGGCTGCATGGCCCTGTGCACACAGGCCTCCAGCTCCCCCACCACCCTGGGAGAGGGTCAGCTCAGTGGAGGGTCAAAGGCACAGACGCTCTATAATTTGTCCAGTCACAGAGCTAGGTAGGGATGGAACCAGGCCAGGAAGCCGGGAGCCTGGCCCAGAGCCTGTGCATATGGAGAGGGAGCATCTCTAGTGGTGAGCAGTGGTGGGCCTGTGGTTCCTGCTGGGCCTTGCAGAGCTGTGAGGAAAACGGGCTGGACCTTGGGCAGGTCCCACCAGGGCATCTGGTTGGCTCTTCGGGTCTGTGCTTCCCAGGTTTCATGGACTGCCAGGTTGAAAAGTGTTTGGGAGGCTGACATAGAACTGCTAACTTTAAAATCTGCCAAGTAAGGATTTTTTTTTTAAAAAACGAAAACTCTGCAAGTGKTCTTGCTGGCCACTTCTGAGTTTCTTGCCATGCAACCTTGGTTAAGAGACTGGGTACCTCCGAGTCTCTGAGAAAACTGGGACCCCCAGCCTCACTGGCCTGGGAAGCCCTCTCAGCACCCATCTCTCAGAGGTCTTGGATAACACTGGATGTGGCTGGACCTCCTCCCGGCCTCAGACAAAACGGGGCTAGTGCTCACTGCCAGAGAAGCCACACAGGCCTAGGCCAGCTCTGCTGCTGTCGCCTAACAGTGGATGGGACTTAGCAGTTTTGCCCTCCAGATGCCCTGGTAAGGTCTGCCAGGGCTCTCCATCCAACATGGTCCTTTCCTTCCAAGAGCAGGGGCATGGACTCTTTATTAGTTAGACATGACCAGTAGTTCTGTCTGTCCTAGAGGCCAGTGTAGGCCCTGGGGGCTTCTGGCCTCAGGGCCGTAGGAAGAGAACAAGCCCTCATCTTGGCGGCATTGACCGTGGGTTCCTGTGCCACTGTGGAGTCTGCAGCCTCCACACTTAAGTGGGGCCTCCAGCAGCCTGGGCCACCCAGAATGGTAAATACTCCAGTAGCAGATATTCACAGTTTGGTGTTTTGTCTTGTCCTAAATGCTTCCTGAAACAAAATGAACATATTTGATGCCACTAATGATGTTTTTAAAAAGAAGGAATCACATAATTCATTCTAAGACCACCATCTATCTTTTGCTGCAATCCCGTTTTCTGTATGCTTCTGAGGAGACCTCACAGTGGGTCTCAGGACTGCCTTCCTCATTCCTGCTTTGCTGAGGCAAGCTCATGACCCTTGAAGGTCTCCTGGGAAGTGGCCCCAGACCTGTGCTCTAGGGCTTGTCCCAGAGAAGCCTGGGATGGAGAGGCCCAGGCCAGCTTATAAGCATTGCCAACTTGAATGCACTGGCTGGTTCCTCAGTTCCGGCAGAGCCTTCACGGGTGGAGACAGGCCACCCGTGGTGGAGTGCTGATGGAGCTGTGTGGCCAAGGTGGGGTACAGAACAGGTTGTCCACTCCTGGGCAGCTGCGGGCTGCCGTGGCACTAAGGCAGGGCTGGGCAGTGGCGACAAGAGCCGGTGGCTGGGTGACTGAGTGTGTATTTTGGGCAGTTACTTTCTGAAGTGGCTTTAGTGGTTGACGTTAAGGAAGAGGCCTCTTGGCAAAAGGAAAAGATTGAAGGAGTTCTACGGTTTCCTCCCATTAATCACCCTGGCGCTGTGGCTCCCTGCTGCAGGGGTGTGCACTCCTGGCCTGCGGTAGTGCCTACTGGCTTCTTGGGCAGGAAAGCTGTTGTGAACCAAGGTCACAGGAGATTTTGTGGTGGCATGGTAGAGACCAGAACCCTCCATCTAAGAGCCACACTCTGATCCCCTGGTTTCTAAAGTGGGACTGGCCCACCTGTACTAGCTGTCCCACTCAAACCCTGCACACCCTGCACCAGCTGTCACTCTGAGGAAAGGGACAAGCTAGCTCTTTCAGAGCTCAAGGCTGCGCAAGTTCTAATGGCAGTGTCTGGCCCTTTCTTTCTTGGGTGGCTAGGTACATGGGAGAACAGTGTGTCCTACAATTGGGCCTGAGTCAGGGTCTGGCCTTGTCTCCATGGGTGCGTCTGTTTTCCGGTCTCTGTGAGGGGTTCAGGCACTCATTTCCTGCCCACCTGGGTGCAGGGTTTGCAGGAGTGTGGGACAGCTGGTACAGATGGGCCAGTCCCACTTAAGAARCCAGGGGACCAGAGTGTGGCTCTTAGATGGAGGGTTCTGGTCTCCACTATGCCACCAGAAACTCACAGACTCTCTGGTCTTCACTCAGTACAAAATCAGTCCAGGTTCCTTCTAATGTGGACCTGGAGAGAACTCGGGACTAACTGTCTTCGAGTGGGTGGGAAGTATTCCAGGTGAGCCTTTGTGAACATGTTGACAGGACTTGGGTGAAAACAGTGTGACAGGCTGGCTTTGCAGTAACCTCTGGCCTTTGTTGTCGTAGGAAGACATGGCTGCTCACGTGGGTGCTTCCCGGACTCCCCAGGAAGTGATGGAGCACTATGTGAGCATGTACATCCACGGGAACCTGGGGAAGGCCTGCATCCCCGACAGCATCCCCAACCGGGTGACAGATCACACCTGCCCCAGCGGAGGCCCCCTCTCGCCCAGCCTCACCACCCCGTTGCCCCCGTTGGACATCTCAGTGGCCGAGCAGCAGCAGCTAGGCTACATGCCACTGCGGGACGACTATGAGATCGAGTATGACCAGGACGCCGAGACACTCATCAGCGGGCTGTCCGTGAACTACGACGACGATGACGTGGAGATCGAGCTCAAGCGCGCCCACGTGGACATGTATGTGCGGAAGCTCAAGGAGCGGCAACGCCGGAAGAACATCGCCCGCGACTACAACCTGGTGCCTGCCTTCCTGGGGAAGGACAAGAGGGAGAAGGAGAAGGCGCTGAAGCGGAAGATCACCAAGGAGGAGAAGGAGCTGCGGCTGAAGCTGCGGCCGCTGTACCAGTTCATGTCATGTAAGGAGTTTGACGACTTATTTGAAAATATGCACAAGGAGAAGATGCTGCGAGCCAAGATCAGAGAGCTGCAGCGGTACAGGCGAAACGGAATCACCAAGATGGAAGAGTCTGCTGAGTATGAAGCCGCCAGGCACAAGCGGGAGCGAAGGAAAGAGAACAAGAACATGGCTGGCTCCAAAAGGGGCAAGGAGGAGGGCAGAGATGGCGAGTTTGCAGCCATTGAGAACCTTCCTGGGTTTGAGCTCTTGTCAGACCGTGAGAAGGTGCTCTGCAGCTCTTTGAACTTGAGTCCAGCACGCTATGTGACGGTGAAGACCATAATAATCAAAGACCACCTCCAGAAGCGGCAGGGAATCCCCTCCAAAAGYCGCCTTCCCAGTTATCTGGACAAAGTCCTAAAGAAAAGGATTTTAAACTTCCTTACAGAAAGCGGGTGGATATCCAGGGATGCCTCCTGAACAAGGGTGTCCTGGAGCGTCCCCAGACACTTCTAAGGCTGGAGCGATGCTCAAGTAGCTTGTGAGCCAAATGGCATGGGGGGAGGGGAGAGGAACCCCCTTTTCCCCTGTTGCTCTTTTTAAACAAATTGAGTTCCTTTTTTTAAGATGTAAAAATCTTTTCATGGTTCTCTGAAAGAAGCAATAGTAACAATCTTATATTGGATCATGGGGGAGACAAATATGTTTCTATTTTAACTTGGTCCTAAAAGTAACCCTTGAAGATGATGATTTGCCTTTGCGTGTTCCGTTTGGAGACTGTTAAGAGATTGGATGATTTCCTTGTCTTTCCTGAGCCGCCTTCCCTTCGGGTGCAAAGCTGTGAGTGCAGGGAGTGACATTTTCCTGCTGGGCCGCCAGCCACCCATCAGCTTTCCCTGGTGACACAAGCTCTTCTCAGGCAGGGCTGCTATAGGCGCCCCTTTTCTGAGCCCAATGATGCCCCCCCCCCACGACACCCCACATGGCCCGGGGCACAAGGCACTTTATAGAGGGGCCCATGGGACGCAGACCTGCCCCTGTGTAACAGATGAAGAAGATGAGGCCAGAGAGCACCAGGAGGTTTCCTTACACACTTGAGGAAGAAGCCTTGTTTACACAGTTGATCACGTAAGCCTCCACTTAGCTGTCAGCAGCGGCCAAGTGTGAGTTTGCAGCTCCCAAATCCCGCCTCTTTGTAGTCTGAGCCCAGCCTGCTGCCCACTTGGGGATATCCCCTGGGTGCATCCTTGTCTTGTCCCAAGGATGGGAACCCTGGAGTTGGAGGGTCACAGGACTAGTGGGAACTGCCTGGCTTCCGGGGGTGCCCCTTGCTGCTGTGACTACTTGTAGTGCATTTGACTTGGAAGACCCCATTTTAAAGAGTTCCAGGCCAAGTGCTCAGGGTTCTGAGTTCTGGCATTAGCTTCCTCAGGATTCTTCTCAGTTACAAGTCCTCTTCTCACAGAAAGCGATGACCGTGCTAGCCCAGCTAGGCGAATTATTTAGTGCATGGCCAGGCCTGCTCCCGTTGGCTGGGCAGAGCCATAGTTCCAGCCCACACGGGCCCTGGCAAGTGTGGCGGTTCCCGGCTGTGTCTTGGGGCTACTGTGCTGCTTCTTGCTCGCCCTCTTGCATCTGACTCAAAAATGGCTCCTTCCCAGCCCAACCGAAAAGCTCGTTTCTGGGGCCTTCTTCAAGGACGTACACGGTACCTTCCTTTTAAACTTGAGGAAGTCGCTTGTCTTCCAGCTGCTCAGGGTTCTTGTGCCCAGACCCTGCTTTAGAGTCCCTGGATGACCATAGACCCCATTCTCCCTGAACTCATCCTGCCCCTGTGCCCCCATAGGTACAAGAGCCTGTTTACCTCCCAGAATATTTGAGCTTGAAGTACATTAAAGTGAAGTTATTCAAAGGAAAAAAAAAACCCTCCTCATTTCCAAGGACGACTTGATTATGTGCCTTTTCCTTTCTTTTTACATCCTCTGTCCCTTAGGGTGAGTTTTTCAGCATTAAACAAAACATTCAAGTACACTGTTTAGTTGCAAAGTGTGTTTCGGGCTGCCAGAGGAGTACCCGCTCGCTAGACCAGGCTTCTCGGCAGATGCTGAGCAGTGACACTGCTCCAGAGTGCTGGCTGCGTGCTGCGCCAGGGACAGTGACAAGGATGGTGCTGAGTTCTTATATCGTCTCAGAGTGCGGATCTTGGGTACCTGTTTACAAACGTAGAATCTGGACCCCACCTGGTCCTCTTGAATTGGAAATTCCTTGGTGGAGACTAGCAAGCCATCTTTCAAACCCTCTAGGTGACTGGGAGGGAGCTCAGTTTTGACAGCCACTGGCTTTAGCTGTCCTGGTGTCTCATTTGTTGATTTTCTACACCACCCGAATACTAGTTTGGTGAGGTTGAGTCTAGTCTTATTTTTTTATATAAAATGATAGGCCTACATTAAGCTTGAGAAGCAGAGGATCCTGAAAATGTGTGTGGCCCAGGCCAAGAGTTGTCCAGTGAAAACCTTTGTGCTTAAGCAGTTTTGTAGTGTGTGTGTGTGTATATATATATGTGTGTGTGTGTGTGTGTGTATATATATATCTTTTTGATGGTATGAAGAATTTATTTAGGCTTGACTGTTTTAAGACACCATAATGAATGTATAATTAATTTATGTCAAAGTATTAATATGTTGTTACAACAGGAAAGTAATTTTAGGATTGGTTGCCTCTTATCCCATCTGCTCCAGCTTTCTGTTATATTAGTTCTTACCTCTGCATTAGTTTGGAGCCTGATGTGTTTATATTCAGTTCTCACAATAAATTAGCTACCATAATCCTGTGAACTAAATCTTTTCAAATTTTACACAAACTGTCTTTACAAAGTCCAAAAAGATAGATAGGTAATTTTTCAGGTATTTGAAATAATGCTCTCTGGGAGGCCAACATTCCAAGAATGTATTAAAAACTACAACTCTGGCTACCATTTTTATTATTCTTTTACATATTAAACAAGTTGAGAACAGAACAGTGCCTTTGCTTGCTTCTTACCGTTTCTCAAGCCTCTGTGCCTGCATCCTTGCAGAGCCTTAAATGCAGCAGTGAGCCAACACTGAGCCCAGGGGCACAGCGTGCCTGGCATGTTTGAGTGGCACACTGGTTATCAAGCCAGCCCCCGCCATCCCTAAGTCAGCCTAAGTGGGCTGACTTTCCCACACCTGAGGTCTGCACCATACAGCTCAGCCCACGCTGCAAACAAGCAACACCCATCGGTACTAGGTACTAGAGTGGAGCTGACCATATCATTTCCAGCATGAATTTATCATTAAAAGATGTCTTCCCATTGGTGGTGATTGTGGATAACTGAAATACACTATTGAAGACAAGTTGGCTATATCTGAGATGCAGTCATCCCTTGGGTTGGTTCCTGGATGCCTTACCCCCCACTCCATTCAGGATTCCAAAATTTGAGGACCTCAAGTCCCTTAAAATAATAATAGTATTTGCATATAACCTGTGCACTCTCAACTTGCATCATCTCTAAGTGACTTATAATGCCCAATACAGTTAGATGCCATGTACAGATTATATTGTGCAGGAAATGAGGACAAGTGTGTTCAGTACGATTGGTTTCAATAGTTTTGTTCTGCAGTTAGTCAAGTTCATGGGTGTAACACCCACAGTCACAGAGAGCTGACTATATGTCTTGAGTCATGAACTTAGTGCTTTTTAGTGACTCCAGCTGTAGTTGAAGAGGGGAGCGCGCGTGTGCGCACACACACACTGTCAGAGAACAGTCTGAACATGATGTCTCATTCAGGCTTGGCTTTGCAGGAGAGTTCCTGGGTGGTATGCACACAGCTGCACAGCATAAAAACAGGCTGGGCTGGACCCAGGCCTGGGTTCTCTCCAATGTTGGGCTGCCTTCAGTTCCAGGGTATGTATTTGACCAAATAACACAAAGCAACTTCAAGGAAAGGAGGAAAATGCTTGCAAATAGGAAAAATGGAGAGTATTGCTTTTGTTTTTCAAAATTACTGGCAAAATATATAACTATGCCCCATTTTTTTTTTAAACACAGGAAAAGATTTACCAATATTGCCCTTTCACCTAAAAAAGGTTAAGAGGTCACTGTTCCCTTTTGTAACAGATGCCCCAGTCACCTTCCTCCAAGATCTGGACATTATATGAGGCACAGAGACCCCTCTGCTGGAGTCACCGTGTGTGGCTGCAGCTCTGGAGGGCTTTGTCCCAACCCCTGCTGTGGTGTGCCTTCTCCTGGTCACTGGGTCTGAGCCTGGAGGGCTGCTCCCTTCCCAGGTGTTGGCACCTGCACACCAAGCAGCCAACTCCCACGTTGGGGTAGATAAAGGGGAGAGAGTTAAGCATACTTGCCTTGGGCTCAGGGGTCACCACTAAAGGACACGTCATTACCAGAAGTAGGAAAATAAACATTAGGCTTTTAATCCTCTTAAATAGAATTTTAAAATTAAACAAACATTTTAAGTATACCAAGCATGCAGTCCCCACTGAGAAGGTCCATTTTAATAGGAACATACCTTGAGGTTATTAGTAACTAACTGAATAGATTTAAACAACTGAGATGACAAAACAGGAAAAAAAGGATTTACTTTGTCAAATTCACTTGGCAAAATAAGGTGGTAAGAATGTTCAAGTTCACATGCTCCCTTCCCATCTCCACAGAAAAGCCAAGGTTGACCATTCCTGGCATCTAGATGCTAGTTATAAATGAACTTGTATGTTCTCAAAGGTAGGCATCAATTTTTTTTGTTGTTTTAATCAAGAAACATGTTTCCCCTCCGGCCTTTTCTTCGCAGAGTGAACCCAGCAGTGGCCAAAGGTGCCAGCACTCAGTGCTGCAGTGAGCTGCACACGACGGCACAGATGGGCGGCCAGGCAGCCAGACAGTTCCTGAAGACCTTTTATTTGTTTAAAGTACTTTGCAATCACGAGTTTGAGCAGATACAGGTTATTCAGGATACTCTAGAGGTCCCGTCCGCCCTCTTCTGGAAGAATATGGAGCTACTAAACATGTGGTACTAAGAAATCAGACTCCTGGACCAGAGCTCCTGGACGCAACTGTGTACCCAGCTTGATTCTTTGCAGCCACTTGACCTTTCCATCAAGGCTGGACTCCCAGAGGAGAAAAGATAGACCCGCCTTTCAAGAGTTACAGCAAGTGACTTAAAAGCCAAAGGCCCTGCGGGAGGCAGTTATGCTTCCTTCACCACCCCCACCAGGGCGGGCCTGAGGGTGCGCCCGTGCAGCTTGTACCCCACCTTGCTAACCAGTGCAACCGTGCCCGGCTCCTTGCCCTCTACTGGTGTGTGGAACAGCGCCTCATGTTCATAAGGGTCGAACTTGGCTCCAAGGGGGTCCAGCTTGAGCAAGCCGTGCTTTGTGAATACCTTCTGGATCTGCACCTCGGTCAGCACCAGCCCCTCGTACAGGCTTTTCAGGTGAGGGTTTTCATCTTTAATTTCTTCCTTTGGRACACTCTGCGTTGCCTTCTCCAGAATGTCTGCAACCTCCAGCAAGTCTTTGCAGAAGCCCTGGATGCCTGATAAAGTTAAAGAAGGTGGTTCACAGTCCACATCCACTGCACCTGGGAATTGAGCTTGGTGTGCTTCATAACAGGCTGCTTATGGTGCCTGGCCACAGCACCTGTTGCCCCAGAATCTCAATGCTTCCACCATTTAATACAGAAAACACAAAACCCTCCAAAGCCTCTCCTGGCTGAAAGCTGGAATCGCCTACTACAGTAAGGGGGAAAGGAAGCCAAGTGAAGGGCTAAGGTCGAAGCACCCTTGAGACTCCCAGGCAAGGGTGCTAAGCAGCATGTATGGAATGAAACTCAGGAGACTGAGCTGGAACAGAGACCTAGATGTGGAGGCCCTTTAAACCTGTGGGAGTGTGGAAGTCACCCGGAGTGCCGGGAAGAGGGGAAAGAGGCCTAGTACTCAGGTCAGGCAGGTTCGCAAAGGTATTACTCAGGGAGGAAGAGTACCAGGAACCCAGGTGACCCAAGGAAAAGTGTTCCCAGGAAAGAGGTATTTCTGTGTTGGATGCAGCAGCATGATGAGATGAGGACTCTATTTCCTTCTGGTCCCTCACCCTCTCTGTCTTTGGGTAGCCATAGGAATTCCCATCCTGAACCTTTGGCTCCTCACCCTAACACAGGACGCCACTCCTGACAGTTAACCAAGTGACCCACAGCAAGCACTCCTATGGCAGCCTCAGGTCCAGTTACTACCACAGGTGCCAAACTGGCAGTGATGGACAAAATGCTGGTGCCATGACTGACTGGCTCTGTGATGTGTGGCAAGTCACTAAGCCTGGATTACCTCAATCACAAAGTGGGAAGGCAGCAACAGAAGCACCAAAGCTGATAGTAGAGGCTGCACAGCAGGAGTCCTAAAGTGACAGCACTACTCTGAAGCGTGAGGGAGCCGCAAGCAGCAGGGGTGCCATAGACATCCCTGTATGCCATTCAGTTACTAGGACTTTACTATTCACAGAGGCCATTTTCTTGAATCAGGGAAGAAAGCTGAACGTAGTTTATTCTGACTGGACTGTGGCATAATCAGACCTCCTGCTAGTCCTGGTGAAGAAGCCTGCAGATGTGCCTTCTGCAGCTGGCTAGGGGCTCCCTAGGGTCTGCACAGGGAGGGTGATAATAAAACTCCTGCTGTGTGTCACAATTCCAAACACTGTCACAACTACACAGTCCCTGCTCCTATACAAACACCTTCACTATGAACTCATCTTGAAAAACCAGAGGGGGTGTGAATTCTGCCCCCCACCCTGGCATGTTCTTGGTACACCTGTACCCCCTCTTCTCCACCCTATTATGTTCTTTCTGGGACCAATACCACATAATGTTTAAATCTTTAAAGTTACCATATAATTTTGCCTCTTCCACCAGTTTTTGGCTCCTCAGTCTCAAGTTCTCAGTATCTGCCAAAGCTCGTTTGTATTTTTCCTAAAGAAAAAATAAAAGGAAAAAGATTTACATGAATCAAATATGGAACAAATTTACAGGAAAGTCATCCTAATTTGAAAATGATTATAACACTCCAAGTCAAGATACAAATAAGATCTATCATTCCTTTTGAGATATTGGACAAAAACAGAAAAGCTCAGTGAGACCAATTTATACTCATGTCAGCATTTCCAATGAGTGGGAGTAATGTGAGGGCTCCCTGCGCTGATCCAAGCGCACAGAGGTGAAAAGACCAGAGGAAAATCCTTCACCCCCAAGGAATAAGCACTAGTCTCCCCAGTAGAATGTCTGACTTCAGGCAATATGAGCACCTTGCTAGGGGTGACGCCATGTCCAGTCCCATTCCTTCCGGGAGAGGGGGAATGGACTGGGTGTGAAGGGGAGGCCTTGATCCCATGGGGGACATGACCCTGTGGATGCACCTCTGTGCCATCTAGTTTGCCTGAAGGACTCAGTTCACATGCTCACTGTTTAATAATTAATCATGGCAGTTTGGGGAAGTCCCTCAATTCTTACCAACCCTCTCAAGAGCTCCCCACCTCTGGAGTACCTTCTGCTAATGTGTACTGAAGGGCTCTGTGCAGATTTCCATACTGCAGCTGCGCCAAGTCTGTAGGCAGTCACAATGCAGAGGTGGACAGCTTGGGTTCACCCTACCCCATTCACCCCTGGCTCTGGGAGCTGCAGGTGGGTGAGCCTGGGGTTCCCTTGGCTGCTCTGTGCCTCAGGCTTCTCAACAGTAAACAGCTTACTTATAAGAACATGTAAAATTGCCCACACATAATCCCAGTGCTTTGGGAGACATAAATATTTGATGTTTTTAATCTTAAATCCTTAAAGAACTTGATTTGCAGATGGATGGATTTCACTATAAACAATATATATAACTGAAAATAAAGCCATCGTGTCAGATGTTATTTCTATATTTATTGATTAAGCTATACCAATATCATTGGTTAATATTTTTCAATTATATATATCTGAATTAAAGAAGAAGGCAAGGTAAGAAGAAAAGCACCTGATCAGTGCTACTTGTGCTTTTCAGCAATAAGAATCCCTACTGCTGCCAGCTCACACAACTTCTACTTCCCCATGACAGCAGCCCAGGCCCCCACTCCCACCCCAGTTTTAGTGACCACACGGAGCTTTCCTCATCTGTAAGACTGTCTCAGGGTAACCACCTGGCATGTGAGGCTCTTGTCATGTCAGAAGTGGAGCCACATGACGTGGTTCTCCCCTCCACTGTGGTGGTCACCTGCTACATGAGCAGTGGGTCAGACTGAATGCTCTGGCTTGGGTCTGTCACCAGTGAAATGTGGGGCCTTTTCTGTGGACTACACAAGAAATAATTCAGCAAAGCCTGTGTCCCACAAGAGCCATATATCCTCACCGTAGTGTCTCTCAGCTGCTCTTCTAACTTGACCTTCTCTTCCAAGAGGATCTTGTCTGTAGAGGGAGGCTCTGTCTTCTGCTCATTGTGACCCATGTCCTCTTCCAGGCTTTGGCCATTGTTCTTTTGTTTTGTAGCGGTGCACAACAACCGAGGAGAGGGCCTACAGAAAAGTCCACACATCAGAAAGGACAAATTTTTTTTGGAAAACCAGACACAGGACATAGGAGATTTGGAATACTTTTTAACTCTGCTATTGACTGTTTTGGGAGCAAACCTATTTCAGATCTTATAAAGGCAAACTACAAATGACACACACACATATATTAGTACATGCCAAATAATGCCATTCTGGACAACAGATCGCATATGTGGCAGTCTTTATACCACATAACCTATGTGTGTAGTAGGTTATACCATCTCTGTTTGAGTAAGTACACATGTAACATTCACACAAGGAAATCACCTAACAATGTAGCTCTCAGAAGGTAGTTCCTATTGTTTTATGACTCATGACTATATAAGACCAACTGCAATACATGCTTAAACTGATGGGTACCTAACCTTCTCTTCTTGCATTCCAAGGTGTCTTCTGAGACACAGAGGGCCCCACCTGTGTTTAATACAGCAGACACTGTCAGAGGTGAGACCCACTGCTGACATCACGGACAAAGATGGACCAGGCAGAGTTGTTACCTTGAAGCACTTTCCATCATGTAAAAAAGGTAAGATGTCTATACACAAAGAATTGTAATTGGGGGTTTAAAAGTTAGTAAAAGAATCCCAGTGCTCTGAGAGACTCAGAAGACTGGAGAAGAAAAGGCTCTATAGGACAGGTGAGTTGCACACAAGAGCAAAACATGTAATAAAGAGGTCATTGCTTTTCACACCTGTGGTAACAGTCTACAATGGACCCTTCTACTCCTTTCTATGAACCTGAGAAACATGAATACATGCACAGCCTCTCTAGTTCATTTTCAGAAAATATGAACATTCAGAAAATATGAACAAGAGCAGGGTGGACAGATAGATACGCTTTAGGAAGTGGGCACTGCCTGGATGAAGGTGTGGAGGTAGGAACATGAGACTAACAAATGAGTACTAATAAATCCTGGAAGATATTTAAGGTATTATCCAATCTGATATCCACATGAAAAGATTCAATGACATGCCTAAGGTCACAAAGCCTTTAGTGATAATCTTAAAACCCAGGTTTTTTCACCAGGATCAGCAGGAGCTCTAATTATGCCACAGTCCAATCAGAATAACTACATTCAACTTTCTTTCCTGATTCAAGAAAACTATCTCCATGAATAGTAAAGTTTTTGTAAACATAATATACATAGAAGGATGTTTATGGCAAYGCTGCACAGGGACAAGCTGGACACAGTGTTCTGAAGTAAGGAAATGGCTAAATGAACTGCTGCTTCCCCAGTCTGAACTATCATGCAGCTACTAAAAGATGAGTTAAACAGTCGTCCCTCGGATGCACTTGTGTGTCTTCTATTAAATAAGAAATGCAACTTCATGCACCACTTCATGATAGGATACATTGATACATTCTAAGAAAGATGTCATTAAGCAACTATCATGCAAACCAAAATGGCTAGGATGTCACTAGGTGATACAGTCTTAGGGGACCACTGTCCTGAATGAGGTCTGTCACTCACGGGAACTTGTGCAATGCATGAACACAAAACATGTTCATATGTAGACTGTTACCACAGGTGTGAAAAGCAATGACTTCTTTATTACATGTTTGCTTTTCTGGTTTTCAGGTATTTAAAGAGTAAGGGTATTGTTGAGATGCCTGCCTTCTGAGTTTTCCCTGCGCTGAATTGACAGTCACACTGCCTTTCTGTAGGTTGGTTTTGCTGTGTGCAGACCCCTTCCTGATGCCAACAGAGGGTCTAGCCACCATGTATGAGAAGGAAAAACACAGGGTCCAGAGTTGCAGCTGGTCTGCCGTCTCAGAAAACTATCACTGTGGGAATTGTGATTACCATTCAGCTCTCTTGCCTCTAGTTAAGCATCTTTCCACAAAGCCACAATTTCAGAGACAGAAATGATGCTGACTTCGTGGTACTTTTTTGTTGGCAATTCCAGATACAAAACAACAAATTATTGAGCTCTAAAATGCCTTTTACTGAAGTATTCTGGGAAGCCTGCCACATTGTTCCCATGGTGCTTTACATGAACTTAGTAAGATGCTATTCAAGCCTTGTCACCCTCATTGCAAGTAATCTTTGGCTCATCTGCCTGGTCTCACCAGGTGAGTGAGCTCCTAGCGGGAGAAGACCGGCCCTTACTCTGCTCAGTTTCTACCCAAAGTTTGGACAGAAATAACTTCTCTCGATTTGGTGAATAAATTGCTTCTAGGAAAAATTTCCAAGGGATGAGATAAGAACTCTATATATTTGCCGAACTCACTTTAAGACAGGTCTTTCAAAAACCAAAAGCAGTAGGTTAAAATGAAAACAGTGACGAGTGCTGGTTCTTCTGACCCGCAGGGAGCCTAAAGGAACTGCCCACAGCCGCACAGGCTCTGGTGCTTTTTGACCCAAGACTCCCGCGAATGCTTAGAAACTTGAGGCAGAACGGGAAATGCCCGTTAGCCGGGCAATGGACCCTCCGGGGCGGCGCCAGCGAGCTGCGCTCTGCAGCTCCGGGCACTGGTGAGCCACAGCCCCGTCCCGGCCTCGCTGCGTGACCTTGGGCAAGTCTTGGGTCTCTCTGCTTGTTTCTTCAACCGCAGAAGCTGAGGCTGCCTGGGTGCCSGGGCGCGCAGGGGAAGCGGACGTCTGCGAGGCCACTGCGGGCCCTGGGCCACACGCACACGGGGGCCGCCGAGCTTCCACTCCAGGCACCCCGGCCAGGACCCCTCCGTCCCGCAGCCCACGGAGCCCTAAAGCCCCACGCTTCGGGTGCAGGCGGCCGCGCTCCCGCTGTCCGAGCCCAGGACGGGCACACCCCGGCCACAGAGCAGACCTTGAGGGCGGTCCGCGTCCCGCGTCGGAGCCGCGGGCCCAGGGACCCCGACGCTGGTGATGAGGCCGGAAGGGCCAGGATCGGAGCGGCAGAGATGGCGCTGAAGAGTCGCGTTCCCTCAGCCCAAAGAAGCCCGACGCCCCTTACCTGAGAGATAACGCCAAAGCCGGGAGACTGCGCCGCGCCAGCCTCACACACCGAGCCGCCATGACTGCCGCTACGGCCTCAGTCACGCACGTACCCGGCATGCGCCGAGGCCGCTGTCCCGACTTCACGCCCCACTATTTCTCATCAGCCAATCCTAGGCCGCTTATGCTGTGATTGACAGACCATAGTCACCAATAACGGTGAGTCACAGCAGAGCACAGTCTCCCCGCCCCGTGATGGGTGGGGTCTCCCCCCTTCCCGGAGAGCCCCAAAAAGCGAGGTGAAAGGTGAAGAGAACAAGAGGAGGAGCCTCTTCGTGGGCGGGGAAAGTATGGGGAAGAACCAATGGGGAAGAACCAGTGAGGGCGGGGCGGGGCCGAGCGGAGGGCGCTGGTTGGGTGGCGCGTTTCCTTCTGGGCCAGTTTTGTTGTCAGCTCCCACCCCGTTGCCTTTTTTCGCTGAGTGCCGCTGGGGCTTGCGGTCCGACAGGCGCCACTAGCCGAAGGAGGCAGGGAGGCTCGTAAAGTGAGGCTGTGCTACCAGGAGGCGCACTCCCGGCACGCCTATCCAGGTGGTGCGGGAGGAGGGGGAGGGACATGGCTGGCTGGCTGTCCCGAGTTTCAGGAAAACTTTAAAACGAGACCCAGGAAGCGGATATGACGAAGTGTCATCACGTTTGGTGTTGGATGTCGGGATTCTGGGTGTTAGTTTTGAACCTATCATCTTCTGTTTTCTGAGTAAGGCACAAACCACAAAATAGGAAAAATACAGGAAAACTTTTGGGACCCTCTAAGGCTCATAAATTCAAATACCGGTGTGGTTCTGCCACATACCCCTTAAGTGTCTCAGAAAACTGAGGAGAGGGCTCAACTGGCTCTACCCCTTTTGCTGCGCCTTAAGCTTGGGGCCCAACAAAGGCTCTTACCGACTTCTGCTCTGCACCGCTGGCCTCCAGTGCATTCCCCGGGGCCAGCCGGCGCTGCAGAGGCCGGCCTCCCACCCAGGATACTACCTGCTGTGTTCCACTTCTGAGAACCAAAACGCTGTTCTTTTCCTTTGTTTTCATTGAAACCTTTCTTTCAACCGAAGCTGATTGAGCACCTACTGTTTTCCTGCACTGTGCCACCTATAGATGGAGGCAAATGGCCAACTTCAGAATGTGGGTTGTCGATTAATTGGCGGGGTTGAAGCCAGATTTAAAGTTAGGTAGTTAGTGTAGTTAGGTAAATCGGGTCTAATATGGAGTGAAATCTAAAATGGAGGCCATGCTGGGAATGACTCAGGGAAAACACAGAGGACAATTCATGGAATGTTAATGAAGTCCTGAAGAGGCCCTAGGCCAAAGTCCACCTGGAAGAAGTATTAATGAATAGCCCCCAGCAGTTTGAAGATAGCCCATCACAAAGGAGTGATAATGAAGTCCTTCCTGCTCAGACCACTTCTTTGGCCCACCTGTGTCCCACCCCTCAGGCCATCCATCACTGAAAGAACTATAAAAAGGGGAGACAACCGCACTTCCACGGATTCCACCTTCTGGGTCCCCTTCTTCCTCCGGGAGAAGTCTTTTCTTCTGTCCTTTAATAAATTTCTAATCTCTACTCTGACCTTGCCTGGTCTTCAACATCAGGGAAGCAAGAACTCATCACCGGTCAACAGCGGTAACAGGGTCAGTGGGAGGAAGTGGAACGGTTAGTAAACTAACTTAAAAGACATAATTGAATTCAATTCGGATCATGATAGAACAAATCAACTGTAAAAAAGACATTTGTGAAGTGATGAGGAATTTCACTGCTACTTTTGTTAAGGAGTCATAATGGCCTGGTGGCTATGTAAAAATGTCCTTGACATCAAAGATGCAAACAGAAATGTTTACAGTAAGTTGCTACAGTGTCTGGAATTTGCTTTAAAAATACTCCAGTAGAAAAATAATAATGAGTAAAGGTGAAACACAAGTGGAAAATATGGAAAATGGTTAGAACTGGGTGCTGGACATGATGAGGGTTGTAACTTTTCTTTCTTTTTAATAATGTTCAAAATTTCCTGGGATAACCCTTAAAATGTGTTTTTCATGGGCTGTAACCAAGTTGTCTAATTGCACTCATCCTGATCTGCTCACCTGTAAAACTGGGTGTTTTTTTGTGGTGGGGGGGTCGCTATGGGAAAATACAGGAAAACTTTTGGGACCCTCTAAGGCTCATAAATTCAAATACCCCTGTGGTTCATAAGGTGCGACTTATGCAGTCCAGGGGGAGAAATAAAAGAATATCCACGTGCTTCTGTCCCTTTCAATGCTTTATTGACACAAATCACTCAATACAATTCATCCTATAGGTTCTTAATCAAGAACAACAATCCTTTATGGTAGGCATTGCAATAGACATAATAAATTCACAGCAAACAATTCTAGATTAATTCTAAGCACTGCAAACACACTTAATCATGACAGGCTCATGACAAACATTCCCTCTGCGTTCTAAGTTCAAGTGTCAGATCAAAAGTCTCAAGCTGGGCTGGGGATATGGCTCAAGCGGTAGCACGCTCTCCTGGCATGCCCAGGGCCCTGGGTTCGATCCTCAGCACCACAAAAAAATAAAAATAAAGATGTCCACCGAAAACTAAAAAATAGATATTAAAAAATTCTCTTTTTCTTAAAAAAAAGAGTCTCAAGCTTTAGGCTCTAAGTCCAGCAGATGCACACTCACTCAGACCAGATGCACACTCACTCAGACCAGATGCACACTCACTCAGACCGCAGTGATCAGGTCAAGAACCCAGGCAGGCTTCTCCTGGGGTGGAGCTGACCACTGGCTGGGAAGGCTCTCCCCAGGGTCAAGATGTGGCTGTAGAGTTTAGAGTGGTGAGGAAGATGCATAGGATCAGCAACAGAGAAAAGTGTTGGGATGTTGCCGCAGTCTGGCTGGGCACAAATAACCTAGCCGCCACAAAGCCTTGTAGATTCAAACAGCAACTCTTTATTCCCCAAATCTCACTGGCACTGCACACACCACACAGGAACAAACTCCCTCCACCGGACTCCGTCCAGTCTCTCAGAACCCGGGAGAACTGCTCGGAACTCCAAAGTAGCAGGCGCCCGAGGCAGCAAGAGCCGCCCTATTGCCCGACAGTAAAGATCAAAAAGGATGTTCTTGGTAAGAAAATACCGCAGAGGGGCCTGCAGACGGCCACGTGGAAACACCCTGATGTAGACAGGCTGGCTGCACATGGATTTGGTTGAAATAAGAGGTTGCATGAGGAGAGAGCAAATACACAATTATTAATAGTCATCTCCCAGGAATGTTCAAGCAGCAAATTAGCCATCTGGACCTAGTGGCATGCAGATGTCTCAGTTGCCCTAAGCAGCTAGGGTGGCCAGAGGTGACAAGGAAGGAGAGAGGGGTGATGGAGTCCTTGGATCCCAAGAAATTCTTCCTAACACATCTGTAGACATGAGGGATCATTTGAATCTAAGGCTGCTGACACCATCCTTACCACCTGCTGCAGTTTGAACCCTCCTGTGTGTTGGTCAAGTCTGTCTGCAGGCAGAGAACATCAGCACCGTGGGGAGTGCTGAGGGTGAGGGTTGGTAGGGAACATTACTGTGGAATGTTGGGAACTAAGTAGTGGGTTGGGGGGTCTTACGCCTTTCTCCTTCCTGTATTCCCCTGCCCCTGGAGGAAGTCCAGCACTGGCACTCTTTGCTTCTGGCCTTGGATTGGTCACAGACTGGAACTGGATTGGGTGTCGCTGGTGAGCAGAGAAGAAGTGGGCCTCTCTGAATCTCAGTCTTTTCCATCTGTACTAGTGACACATCACTGTGAAAAGCAAGGGCTTTGTGACACTTGCCCCAGATGAGTTTCAGTTCCAGTGAAACAGGCGTCAGGATGGACACGATGGGTGCAGTCCCTTCCTGGGTGCTGTGTTGGAGGAAGTCTCTGTAGCTAATAGCCAAAATGTGGCCACGTGGCTGCACCTGACTGCAGGGGAGGCTTGTAGTCTGCCCCCAATGCTCCACTCCCCACTGGAAATTCTATTCCTGCAGACCACGCACGGGAGGCCTGCCACAAGCCACTGGATAGGAAGGGCTCCTAGCCACTCATTGAGCCTGGTCCTGGGTGCGTTCTGAATCCTGGTAAGTGTGACAGGCACACGGTTACCCAGCTCTCAGTGGGTTCCCTGTACAGTTTGCTAAGGTGTACTTTAGAGTTCGATTTTCCCTGATGATTGGTGACTCCAAGCACAGTGTAAGTAATTATCATTTTAGAGCCTTAGCAATCCCTAAAAGGGATCTGAGACATGGAGGAGGGTCCGTTACCACTCTGTGGGCTTTGGGGAGGCATGAGCCTTGGGATCATTTCCTCCATAAGGCCTTGGCCACCCCATGGCCTTTCCAGTCCCTTTGGGAAGGCTTCAGTCCTTCCAGCAGCAGTGTCCACCAGGACCTGTAAAACCTGAATGCCTGGCAGGTGGGCACAGAGATGGGATCCAGCTGCCAGTCCTCTCTTGAGTGGGCTGTCTGTGCTGAATGGGTTTAATCGATGGGAAACTTTTTTCCTGGGTTAGGATAAGAACAGAGGGGACAAGCTTTACAAATTTTTCTTAGCACATCTATTATTTTGTTACCACAAAGAACCAAGTGGCTCTTTGGGTGACTTCTCTTCCCACAAGCAAGGAATCACGTAGGCCCTCAAGGGCCTTCCCTCGTAGGGACAGGTAGGTACAGTTGGCCGCGCTTCTCCCACCAAACCCCATGTTGGTGAGCTCTGGCCGCTAGCAGCCTCTTCCTCCTTTAGGAAAGGGGATCAAGGCAGTGACAGGCTATTGCTTCCCTCTGAGCTGCCTCCCCAGCTGCTCGATGGGCCTTTCCATGGCTCTCGGGTGTTTCTGACACCTCTCCCTGGCACCCCTGGCAGTGAGTGACTGCTATTCCCTTGGAAGAGTGCTGCTTCTGGTAGCTGTAGGACCTGCTCTTTGTGTTTGACTGGGAGTGTCCTCCAGTCAGGGGTCCCTTCCTTCCATGTGGCTGTGTGGACGGGAAGCACAATGAAGGTGTGTTTAGAATTTGTCTCAAGGGGGCAAAATTTCGACGTATGCAGTCAAGAAATAAAGA